CTGTATTTTCCAAGGCAATGCCTCCTGATTCTATCATCTTAAAAAAATTGTATGATGTTACAGGAACCTGTATACATGTATAGTGACTGATCAATACTAACTGGAAAATCCAGAGACAAGTCACACAATAAAGAATGGTGCTACAGGGTCATTGGTTGCAGTGGTCTACATTGCCACCTGGCAGGCATCTGGAACCAACAGCCACCCAGCTACCACATGGTGTATCCATTGCAGTAAAAGTAAGCACAGATAAAGGATCTCGCACAGAACCCTTGGCACTGCTTTACTAAAGGATGGCTTTTGATCGTGCTGCTATAAGCCTTATTTCTTTCATTGTGTATGTAAAGGTGCCCACACACCTTGCGATAATCGTGGGAAATCCCGCGATCGTACGAATATCGCAAGGTGTGTGGAAGGCGTGCAACCGTTTTTACTGTACGGTCGCACGACTTTTATCTTAGGAACAGGTTCGAAAACCCGCCGAGAATTGTACGATTGTCGGTGGGTGTGTAGCATGTTCGTAAGATAGATGCCGCACGGGCCGGTGTGCGCAAGCGCACACTGCCCGTTCAGCATTGTGGTCATTGGAAGCCTGCCCCTCAGGGGGGCGGCTTGCGATAATCGCAAGTACGATCTGCTTGTCCAAGATGGGCAGATCGTACATTTTATTAATTACCTTACAACCATCGCAAGACAAAAGTCTTGCGATGGTTGTAAGGTCTGTGGCCAGCTTTAGAATTGTAATAGAACTGTGTAAATTATGTTTTGTAAGTGATTACTTTTAAGCACAGTTATATATCACTTTGTGCTAAAGGTGCAATATTCCTAAAATATGATTTTATATATATAGTCATCAAAACATCTCAAACAGTGCCGTCAAACACAGGAATCCGTCCTTATTTTCCAAGCAAAATGTCCAGGTGTTGCAGCACTCGATCTTTTCATTTATTTATGTTAAGAAAATTGAGTGCTGCAACAATTGGACATTTTGTGTTACTATATCTCTGTCTCGTAAAATCACCTGGGTGTATCCAGGATGGCAAATATGTGTCCCATGTTCAGGTTATACACAGACTTCTTCCACTGGAGGGACTGCTTGAGTGGTAGAGGTAATAATCCGAGCTGAAGTAAGCTGGCTCATTAGGGCCTCTATAAGAACTCTCAGACTACTAAGGCCCCATTCACACTGAGCGATTTGCAAATCGCGCGTTTGTCGCGCGATTTGCATTTTGCGCAATATTGCGCAAATGCTTGCATTGAGCAAGCTAGAATCGCGGCAAAATCCGCTCCAAAAAGGGTCCTGCTGTAGCGACGCACGACAGTGACGGTCAGAGCCCCATTGCCATGCATTGGAGAGCGATATCGCGCGGTAAATAGCCGCGATATCACGGGAATTGCCGCGCGATAAATCGCTCAGTGTGAATGGGGCCTTAGAGATTTGCTCCCCTCGAACCAGTTTTTGTGCCTGAGCAGAGTGGGGAGCTTTCTATCTACCTGTGTGGTGAAAAAGAAAAACCCCAAATTCGTGTGGTGAGACACAGCCTGTGTGGCAGTTTAATAGGAAGATAGGTGCTAGGGGCAGCACAAGGTTGCACCTAGTTGATGGTAAGAGAAACTCCGTGTGTAGTAACAGTTTGTTCAGATTGATTGCGCTAGGAGATTATAAAGGCATAATATCATGAGGATAATATATTTCGGGTATACGGCAATATGAATGTTTGGACTATGCACTCAAATTATGTAGTGTCATGTCTAATATATCCTATTAAATTCACTCATTTTCGTTAAAATTGAAGCATGTAACAGCTCACTTCCAAACTACAACTAAAGATATAGCATTCTTATTGGGTGGGAGTGGAATCACTGGAATAAATTAAAAAGTTATAACGAATTTCAAGTGATTCAGAATAATCACTCCCTAGTTCAACATCATACTCCCGTATATATAAAAAAATTATTTTAACATTATTTTAAACAGAACCTTTTATATAGTCTGATGGTTTAACAATGATTTTAGATTAATTTTATCTACTGTTTTCAATATTGGAATTGATATGTTTGTATATACAGATAATAATTGCTTTCTCGATTTTAAAATCATTACAAATAGTTATTTTATTCGTCTAAAATCACCTTTCACGATTTGAATATCACTATGAATTGTTGAAATAACCAAGCGCAACATATTAGCTCACATCCGTGTGTAGTAAGTTGCCAAGAGGAAAGGGTTTATTTTCATGTTTTGCTCATTTTTGCTTGTAAATAAACTTCACATCTGTTTTCACAGAAAATGTTGCTTGCTTTGCCTATTTACCGTGTAGTGAACTCATCCAGGGAGTTTAGGCCAATTTCTTTATGATTATGAATAACTTTAATTTAAGACTGCTTTAGAATAATAAAACATTTGTATTTGCTTTCACACAGCTATCGTGAAACCACAAATCATGCATCTGCCTCCGGGATCATTTAACCTATTCATGTTAGCAGGGGAAACTTGTAACTCTATTGCTGCAATGTACTGGAAGTGTGTACTATGGATCATTTAACCTGGTACAAACTTCCAGTACACTGCAGTAATAGAGTTACAATTCTCCCCTGCTAACATGAATAGGTTAAATGACATGTTATGTACTATGGATCATGATTTAACCTATTCATGTTAGCAGGGCAGAATTGTAAATCTATTGCTGTAGTGTAGTGGAGGTGTGTGCTGTATATATGTTCTACATATACAGTACACACTTCCAGTACACTGTAGCAATACATTTACAGCCAGCCCTGTCCCAGCTTCCCTCACTCACAGTTTCACTCAGCTCCCTGTTGCCTCACGCGGTGCCTCTCGTAGTCGGCGCTGGGCAGGATCACTGCATTGCGTCTCGGTGCCCAGCTTGTGGGAGGCGCTCACAATTCTGCCCTGCTAACATGAATAGGTTAAATCATGATCCATAGTACATATGCAGCACACACGTCCAGTACACTGCAGTAATAGAGTTACAAATATCCCCTGCTAACATGAATGGGTTAAATGATCCATAGTACAACTACATGTTATGTACTATGGATCATTTAACCCATTCATGTTAGCAGGGGATAATAGTAAATCTATTGCTGCAGTGCACTCTATATGCAGTACATATAGAGTACACACTGCACACAATAGATTTACTATTATCCCCTGCTAATCAGGGGCGTAACTAAGTACCCCCAACACCCTCCTCCGCAACCTACCCCCACTGCACTACCTACCTCCAGAAGTTCCCGTGCCTGCGCTGTCTCTGTAGTTACGCCACTGGTGAGGGCACTGTACTGAGTATAGTCAGAGGGTTCAGTGCTGGGCATAGTCAGAGGGCACAGTGCTGGGCATAGTCAGAGGGCGCAGTGCTGGGCATAGTCAGAGGGCGCAGTGCTGGGCACAGTCAGAGGGCACAGTGCTGGGCACAGTCAGAGGGCACAGTGCTGGGCACAGTCAGAGGGCACAGTGCTGGGGATAGTCAGCGGGCACGGTGCTGGGCATAGTCAGAGGGCACAGTGCTGGGCATAGTCAGAGGGCACAGTGCTGGGCATAGTCAGAGGGCACAGTGCTGGGCACAGTCAGAGGGCACAGTGCTGGGCATAGTCAGAGGGCACAGTGCTGGGCATAGTCAGAGGGCACAGTGCTGGGCATAGTCAGAGGGCACAGTGCTGGGCATAGTCAGAGGGCACAGTGCTGGGCATAGTCAGAGGGCACAGTGCTGGGCATAGTCAGTGCTGGGTATAGTCAGGGGTACGGTGAGGGGTATAATTAGAGAGCGCAGTGCTGGGTGTTGCTAGGGGGTATAGTCAGAGGGCACAGTGCTGGGTATAGTCAGGGGGGTACAATGCAGGGCATAGTCAGAAGGTACAGTGAGGGGTGTAATAGAATAGGGTACAGGTAGAGTATGGTAATTAATCTTTTACAGACAATAGAGGGTGTGATGAGAGTAGATGGCACAAAGGCAGGGAAGATGTGACGGTCACAAGCAGATGGGATCGCTGGCAACACACAGCCGTCTCTCCTACACAGACACACACGGATCTTGGTCAGGATGCCACCAGAATCCACACTGCCACCAGGTACGGGGTTTCCTTTATGTGCTATTCCCAGCGCAAACCCCTCCTCCATGTGCTATTCCCAGCACACCCCCTCCCCCCGGGGCCCCGTCACATCCTCTTCCGATCCTTATGGTAAACGGCAGAGCCCATGACCCTGGACTTTCCTCCGACTCCCGGCAGGGCCTATTTGCTGGGGAGGACCTGGAGCAGAGCACCACGCGTCCCTATGTTAATCTACATTTTTCACATGAAAACATTGAAAAATAGTACACTATATGCAAGAAAAAAAAAATGATCAAAACAAGCTCCATTATTCCATCTCCTGATTTGAGCAATGTTTGCATCAATCAAGCCATCTGTGACCTCTCAATAAACGTGAAGCCCGATCTACTTCTGGGCAGGGGATTCTGTAAGGACCTGTGCTGATGAACTTTTGTTTGCCTCAAATGGGTTTTACATTTCCATATTAGTTTATAGGAATGTAAAACCCGCTTGAAGCAGATCAGCTGCAGGTCAAATGCACCATGTTAATGATTCCTGAATGATCTTAGAAGCATGTCAAACTGATGCCATTGATACAAGCTCAAACCCATTGTCCCCAGACCCTTAAAAAGCTTTTCTTTCCACAGGAAAAGTCCTATTCTTCAGGAATATTCTCCTATGTGGTCAGCTTTGATATGAACATTGCTTAGCAAGTTCTTCTTTCATATGTCACAATACTAAATGAACCTGAGGGCACCCAGAGTGTCCAAAAATTGTGCACCTCTGTTTTAGAGGGCCTGGCAGCCACTATGCCATGGTTAATAGATTTTCTGAATAAGCAAACCACAGAAGACCCTTCATTTTGTACCCCTGGAATTTTTTACCTACAAAAGAGAGCAGTTGTCTTGTGACTAGTCCCGATAAGAGTGAAAAACATGCCATCAGCTGTGTTGCATTATGTCCCAATAGATGAATGCAGCCACTGCAGAACATCTTGCAGTCCTTTGCCTTCAAGGGCACTAGTTTCCATGACTGTGACTGGCTGCTGAGAACTGGCTATTATGTCATCCATTCTGAATAATGACTTCATTTTGACCAATGACATACAGCACGGCAGGTCCCTGCAAGCACAAATTAGGCACCGTGAAATGTATTGTGCATGCGTTGTGACATCATAGCAGCCTGTGACCATCCCTGCAAGCTGGGAATTAAGAACCATTTAAAAGGAGATGGAATCTTTAATAATAAAGTACACTGGTAATGTAAATTAAATGGAGGGTGCTGCTACTGACCTCTCCATATGAAAATACTAAAGTCCCAGCTTAAATATTCTGAGTAACTGACCAGGAAAAAGGTAGCAAAGGAATTCCAACACATCTCTTTCATTTGCGTCATATGTGTTCCAATTTCATGACTTAGAAGTGCCAGACACCCAGGCAAATAGCATTTGAAGTTAGGAGCTACCAATGGAGGTCCACATATAAAATACCATTCCAGCTTTCCAATCACTAAATGCGGTGGCTGCATTAGTTTTCTTTTTAGCCTATTTTGCCTTTATTTTCACCTGGTGATCCAGCCAGTAAGTCTGTTCTTTTTCAGCCTCATTTACCAGACAAAGCTGTCCAGCAAAAGTGGCAGATAGAGGGTTGAGGGCCAGTTCACACCATAAAGTCTGTGTTCCAGAGCGGTGCCATTGAAGTCAATGGCACCGCAGCCACGGTGAGGGCGGGGTGTGTGGCTGCGGTGACATTGCCACGCCCCCTCCTGTGGGGAGCCAGCCGGCTTGCGTTCCAGTAGTCGAACGCTCTGGAACGCAGACTTTGAGCTGTGAACCGGCCCTGAGACAAACCATTTAACAATGGTCAGCTTTTATACAAAACCTTTATCCCGAAGGGGAAAACAATGTGGAGGTAACCGCATAAAAGTAGAACTCCACCTTTAATATATACAGAATGCTTACAATGGCACAATGTAAACATATATATAATCCCTGGAAGGGCCATGGGGATCATGTAATACACCAGAGTAGAAACAACTACTACAGTGTATTACAGCATTTTCTGGGTCCCTCCTATAGCCGCTATGCTGAGGAACTTCCCTGTGCTGTTAAAACATGGAGAGTCGCTCGCCAAGTATAGCAGCCATTCAGAGGATGTCTGATATTATTCTCGATGAATACTAGGCGTTCTCTAAATTGGACTGTGGTGGGGCGGTGATGTTACAGCACCACTCCTTGTCAAATCAGAGAGAAGTCGCTCATCATAGCGGCTGTAGCAGGCACCCGAAAGAAGCTGTAAACATACATACAAAAATTGATCATCGATTTCATCGCATCAACGATTAGAAATACGACTGAAGGTTCTGAAAATCGATCCAGTTTGAAATTCTAACCGTGTATGCCCTACTTTACTCTTTTTGTGCCAAGCTGGACCAATGTTCTGCTCTAAAAAAAAAAGATTTAATAGATTTAATTAGTTACTCAGGTCCACCTCAACCTGCAAGTCCATCTAATACTACCCTCCCCACAGGGTGACAATGCTGCTGTCCAATGGTGGCTCCATTGCTCCTCCATAGAGTGGACAGGAAGTGTGTTACAGGATCAGCAGGTGAAAATAAAGAAAATAAAGTCTGGAAAAAAAACAAACAAATGCAGTCTTTGTAATCTGCAATATATTACATTTTGGGGTTTAGGTATACTAAGATTAAAAAGGTATTTTAAGGCATTTTCAAGCAAAAAAAAAAAAGAAGGGTTCAAAATAAAATTCACTCCAGGATTATAAAGCGATGAAAAATAGTTTATGTTTGTTAATAACATGCACATCCTATACAGTAGTTTTTCGCCGTCATGCAATATATTACTTACGTTTTATTGAAGATAATGAGCACAGAGGCAGAAGACAGAGCGGGAGCAGACAGCACAGACAGAAGCTGTATACAGGACGCTGACACCTGCATTGGATTAGCGGCATCTACAACAAACTAAAACAATGAAAATACAATAATGGATTATTTATTGATTATACAGTGTTCACCTGACTGATATGGTCAGCCTTTGGTGACACGCAGACATCCACACATACAAACTAATTTCAATAAGAGAGCAAACTTTAAGAGACATAAGGAAAGGACAATGACCCACGTCAGACATTTAGAATTCTTTTAGAACATTTGTCAGCTAAAATGGAACTTGCATGGATTGTTTACATAGGTCCTCATGCTACACAGGTAAATCTAAAGAATGCAGACTAACATGTTTGGCTAGCTTTAAAGCTGAACTGTAGACGAATATAAAAGACTCAAATTAATACAGCTCTGTATTTATGACATTCTTAAAATGTATTTGTTTAAAGGAGAACTATAAGGTGAGTGAAAAAAAAATCACTCATCCTCATCAGTGGCGGAGCTAAGAAACAAAGGGCCCTGGTGCAAGATTTTTTTTTTTGGGCCCCCCCCCCCCCAAAAAAAAACAAAACACAAACACAGCGCTCGCCTCCTGCAGCGCTCGGCCGACTGTCACTTTCTCTCCTCCCCGCTGGGACACAGAGCAGCACCCAGCGGGGAGGAAAGAAAGCACGGATGCGCTGCTGTATCAGCAGAAAATGGCACTTTTGGCATTTAACCAAAAGTGCCATTTTCTGCCGATATGTTTCAACGGTCAATATATCGGTACATTACTAACTTGCGGCCGACGGTCCCCCCATCTCTGCGCCGCGAGTGTCAGATGAACGGATCTGATCCGATCCGACACTCCCGGCGCAGAGACGGGGTGCCTGCCGGCCGCTGGATAACATCTGCACAGGCGAGGGCTGTGCTGGGCCCCCCTGAGGGCCGAGCAGCCGAAGCCCTGGTGCACCCGCACCGGCGGTAGTTCCGCCACTGATCCTCATAGCTAGAGCCGACATGTGACAATGAAACTGTCACACTTTGGCTCAATAGATTGGGAAGAGAGCGAACACATACAGTCGCTCACTTCTCGATCGTGTTCCTGCAGAGAGCCGGGACGGTCAGTCATCACTCTCCGGAAGGATTCCGCCCCCTCCCGCTGACTGGAGGAATGGACGGGGGAGGGGGCGGGTACAGCTGGCTCTGCCTCTAGATAGGCAGAGCCAGCTGTCAATCACGCAGCTGGGTGGAACTCGACAGCATTGTCGGGATCCGTCCCGGCTGAGGCGGTCTCAGTATACCGGGAGGATGCCAGTATATGTCCTCCCATGACCCTTAAGAGAACTATGGGGGAAAAACACTTACCCCGTAGTTCTCTTTTAATGCAGGCAGTGTTAATACCCGAGCCTCTTGCAGCCCTTGTAGAGCAGAGCCCAAACTGGAGAGGGAGAAGCAGCACAAAGAGCCAGTGAGTTGTGCTGCAGTGCTAATGAGCTAACAAGAGACATCATGATAGGAGGAGAGAGCAGAGCACAAGAGAAATTAACTTATCAGTCTGCTGCTTCTCCATTCACTTATGAGTCTCGGGCTGGGGGAGTAACAAGACTTGTAAGTTGTAAGTGTAACTAAACTGCAGCAGAGAAAAATCAGGTCTCCTGCCCTGCCTGGCAGGGCTATGCTGTGTGCTAGAGCTGTGTAAATCGCAGGACTGAATGAACAGAAATGCAAATTCTTTGGAAGGTAACACAGCTCCCTTTTATATGCGGTATTTCCTCTTGGTATTTAGCTTGTTTCTTGGAATTTCAGCTTTAAAAACACATGAAAAAATGTCCCCAGCCTAAAAACACTCCTGTAGTCTTTAAAGTGACACTAAATTCAGGAATTAAAAACCAAAGATAGAAATCTGGAATATATAAATGAGAGCTTGGAGCGGTGACTACTTTACAACACACACAGGGACCATGGGGAACAAAAGTAGCCCTCCTCCAGAAGGAAGGACAGTGTCAGCACCAATTCAGAGATGATTGGAGAATCTACAGCCGAGTGATACACAAATAAGATACATTTTTGTTAATACTACTAACGGTACTTGAATGTATTTTTAAGATTTAACTCCTGAATTTACGGGGTTATTCACAAAAGTGTGAAGAGTTTGGAGGGCAGGAGAAGTGAACAATCTAGGCCAAAATAGCCGATTTGGAAAAATTCTCGAATGCAGCTCACTTTCTGCTTCTGTTTTTTAAATTGTACCCAGTGAATCATGGATGAGAGGCTGACATGAAGAGCAGTAATTCACGAAAGAAGGTTGTTTGGCTAATGAGATCCACACACGCCTGAAGAATGTGTATAGTGATGCAGTAATTGATGTGAGCAATATTAGGCATTGGGTAATGAAGTTTAAAAAGGGAGAAACTAAAATTGTTGATAAGGGATTGAATAGCGCCATTCACGCTCTCCTCATCCAAACTGTAGAATCTTTCTAAACTGGACTTGGTCTGGGTAAAATAATGGCACAAATGTATTGAACATGATGAGGACTGTGTGGAAGGGTAACTCTGAGCAGAGAAATATATAGGCCAACCGTATGCATGTTCATTGTTTTCCCCATCTCTGCATAATCATTCTATACATCAACAGGTATTACTTTTAGACACCCCCAAACATTTTGTTTGGTTAAGCTGCTCGTCGGGCTCCACTGTCTGCTCGTCACAGACGAGTGGACGAGTGGATTTTTCGAGCCCTGGTAATATGCATTCCCCACAATGTAGAAGTGATTGGGTGGCTTCATAGCAGCTGAAATTACTTCTAGTACATAGCTGGCAGCAGAGGCGTCCCGAGGCGGGTTGACACCCCGCAGTGACGTCATCACGCACGGTACCGCTGTCACCGGCCGGTGGCCATCTTGGTGATGGACACCGGCAGAGAGAGTAGGGAACGTCACCCGGCGGGATAAGGTATGCCGCCGGGTCCCCTCCTCTCTCTCTCCAGCAACTGTGGGCTCTTGGACCGAGTGCCTGACTTTTCGGGGGGGGACACCAAAATGACTGTCAGTCATTTTGGTGTCACCCCTCTAATGGTGTCACCCGGGTGCGGGCCACACCCCCCTTGTGACGCCACTGGCTGGCATTCTGCTGAGCAGCATCTACAAGTTTAAACAGAGTCCCGGCGGCAAAAGTCGCCGGGAGTCTGTTTAAACAGCCCCGATGCTGGCGACGTACACTGTACGTCGTCAGTCACGAAAGGGTTAATACATGCCTAGGATAAAGATATGGTTATACTCATGCAAAAAGATTAAAACTAACAATACAAGAGCAGGATGGAAACATACCATTACAGTCCTGCAATCCTTGTAGTAACTGGGCCAGATGGGTCCCATGGAGCCGCCCACTTCTCGTACAGTGATTCGCATCCTCTGTATTGTCAGGTCAGTCAGATTCGTGCCAACCTGCATAATCAAATAGTAATGCAAGATCAATAAACAAGTGTACAAGTATGATCCCACTACAGGGAAACTAAAGACTTGGTAAACAAGTATACATACATAGTAAATCTCTCTTTTTTTGTGGGTGCAACGCTCTCTGGGATGAGCATTCTTGAGAGTCGCAGAGACCAGCCCAGTGACTCTTCTTGAGCTTTAAATATGCTATTTACAGTGCTCAAATGAAACTTAAAAAACTCCAAATCAAAAACCTAGCCATGTCCCGCCACCACACAGAAACACACTACTGAATAACTACCTGCACAGACCTAATGTTTGTCAGGCACCACAGGTGATAGCTTACCAACCTGCCGCTCCAACAGACCCAGACAATCCGCTCAGGTCCCAGAGCATTGTCTGTTTGCCTCACCTGCACTAAATCGACATTGAGGGTGAGGTGCAAAACCTGTGGCTGACTGCAGGTCCTGGAAGGTGTAGGACAGGAATCTGGGTGATATATAAACCCCGGACAGGACCTCTTCTGGCTCTCTACATGACCACCTGCCACAATATATGTAAGGAACACTCATTGTTGGATGTAGCTGGTAGAGTAGGAAAGGATTAGGACCCCTGTCAGGTTTTTATTGCTGTGTCCCCACTAGGTAGATTCACCCTCTCCATCAGTCCTGGTGGCCACTTTTTACCAAGACAGAAAGTGATGAGATCCAAAATTTTAGAACTAGTACTTGAACAAGAGCTATGGGTAAATCTTCCAATGGGGGCACCTGTTCTGCTGACAACTGTCTAAAATGGGAATTCCCCTCACTTTGGAGTGATTTCATCTTAGTTCTTGTTGCATCTCTGGGACAAGAAGAAAAGGGAATTCTCTCCAATTGGGCACAGACCACATAAAAAAGAAATAACAGTGATTTTAACCATACATCTCCCCTATACCCCTAGCCAAAATGTAGAAAAAAAGCTTTAGCTATACATACAGTAGGACATTTAAGATTGAACACATAATTCTTCAACATTTTGATGCCACATCACTTGCCTGGGAATGAGCTAGCTAATCTTATGCAATCACTTACAGTGGGCTGTGTGGATGGCGGGTCGCCCAGGCCAGCTGAATCTTTAGAACATAACTGTGCAGATGTTTTAAGGAACAAGAACAAACAAAGCTAACAACTAGATCTAAACCCGAATCATAAAACCCCATATGAGCTTTAGAGTGGAATGAAGCCAAAACATTTTTTTTCCATATTAATAGAGTAAGGGAAGGTTATAACCCTTGTCTGTTTTTGTCATCTGGGTCCCACTGGAGAAATTTCCATTCACTTCCTGTCCCATGGTCACAACGGGAAGTAAAAGGAAGTCCCTCCACAGTGGAGCTAATCCCTGTTGTCACCAGAACTAGTGTCCCCATTGGAAGATTTACCCATCTAATCCTGTTTGGGTGACAACTCAAAATTTGGGATTTTCTTTCACTCACTCTCTGTGATAATGGTCACCAGGACAAATAGAGAGGGTGAATCTCCCTAACGGGGACACAGACAGCAATGAAAGCCTGACAGATGTTCTAATCCCTCTCCACTCTATACAAACCTAAAAATTTTTTTGACATTAGTTCTATTTTAACATGTTAATGCCATTTCAAACGTTGCATTCACTCATTTTAAATCGGCACTAAAGTGTCATTCAAGCCAGTTCTGGATAGAATGGGAAAGAGCTAGAACTCTTGCCGGGTGTTTACTACTATCTGCGGCTCAGTTAGAGAGATTTAACCTCACTTCCTGTCCTACTGACAATGGTTTCACCAGACAGGAAATAAGGGAATATCTTATGCAGGTACACAGCCAGAAATAAAAATCGGGAATATATAAATGAGAGGTGCTAGGATCTCCTGTTGTAAGTGTCCACCATTGGGGATGACTGAATCACTTTGGAGTGGCTGCCCCCATACAACAAAGGACTCCTAAACTGAAGAGGAAGCCTTGGGTAAATCCAATCAAAGATAACTGGGGTGCCACCACAACAGTAAAAGTGTTTTTTCTTGTATTCATTATATATCAGCAGGGTAAAAATTATGCTCTACCTCTGGGACAAGAAGAAAAGGAAATTCTCCCCAATTGGGCACAGACCACATAAGAAAAACATTATTGGGGTTTTAACCATACCCCTCCTCCATACCCTTATCTAAAATTTAAAAAAAGCTTTAGCTTTACAAACACTTGGAAATCACGTCTGATGTGATATCTAAAAAATGTTTCACATCCGTTGAGTCCAGGCAATCTTGAAAGCATATAAAACTTACAAACCCGGATGAAGGGGGATTGTGTGGACCACTGAAACACATTGTTTTTTTTTACCCTGCTAATATTTCGTTAATTAAAAAAAACACCTTGGATTCTATTACTGGTATTGTCGTGCCCTTGTTATCTTTGATTAGAAATTAAAAAACTAACAGGGGCTCTATCCTTCCCTTATTCTACTAAAGAAGCATATTTTTCTATCTATTTCTTAAAGTGACACTAAACTCAGGAGTCAAACCTTAAAATGCATTTAGGCCCAATACCTGCGGACAGAGCAGAGCTGCAATGCAGCCGGGGAAGGATGCCAACAACATTGTCAGGATCCACCCGTCTGCCTGGCTGACAGCTGGCTCTGCCTCTCTAGAGCCAGGGCAATCTGTGCCCGCACCCACCCCAGTCTGTTCCTCCAATGAGCGCTGGAGGAACAGAGAGAGAAGGAGGGAATACCTGCGTGGAGTAGTGACTGACAGTCACCGATCTCTGCAGGGAGAAGACCATGAGACGAGAAATCAGCGGTTATATGATCGCTCAGCTCTCGTCACAGAGCCGGCATGTGACAGCTGCAGTGTCCCACCCCAGCTCTATGTATTGGAAAGAGTATATTTTACTCTCCCACTACGTCTCCTTTAACAGTGGCAATTCTTCCCATTACATTCCCTCACTTCCTGTCTGGTAAAACATTGTGAGCAAATACACCGCTCTGACAGAGCCCCGGATAGCAGTGAATAACTTGGACAAGGGTTCTAACCCTTCCTCTCTCTATCCAAAACTAAGAAGAAGAGTTTCGCCAGGACATACACTTTAACCCCTTCATGACTGAGGCCTTTTTTTCCATTTTTTGCACCCATGTTATATTCCACATTTTAGGCCTGAAAATTACTTAAAACCCCCACACATTATATATTTTCTGAATGCCAAGACCCTATAGAATAAAATGGTGGTAGTTGCTAATTTTTATGTTGCGCAATATTAGCGCAACTCCTTATTAAACCCCACAATTTAGTGATAAATTTAATTAATTGCCCCGAAACACAACAAAATACCAATTTTTTTAAAGGCAATATAAAAGATGAGGTTACAACGAGTAAAACGATACCCAACATGCCCAGTTTACAAATTGCGTGCGTCCGTGAAACGGCGAAAAACTGTAGTACCCCAAAAAGTCCACAGAAGACGCTTTAAAAGCCCCCACAGGTCATCAATTTAGAGATACCCCAAAATACTGGCCCTAGAATTATTGCTCTCACTCTGGCGTGCGCGGCGATACCCAACATGTGTAGCGCGTTCGTCGTTTTCATACGTAGGCGCACCCGACGCGTGTTTACGTGGCGGCGCGCGTGCTCGCGGGGGCGGGGGACTTTTAATTTTTTTTTATTATTATTAGATTTATTTTATTTCATTTTAATTTTAAAAACTGTTTTTTTTTTTTTTTTTTTTACTTTACTTTGACTGCTATCACATGGGGGGGCTTACAAGCCCCCCCATGTAATAGCAGATGGTGGTGACAGGTCCTCTTTAAGGTGATGCTGGGGGTCCAAAAGACCCCCAGTGTCACCTTTACACTGGAAATAAGCTATTGAAGTGCAGATCGCACTTCAATAGCTTATAGCTGGGCTGCAGGAGCCCAGAACTGACAGCCCAGGGACCGGAAGTGATGCAATCTGCATCGCTCCCGGTCCCATAGCACGGGGAGGGGATCGATGAACGAAAGTTTGTCGACCTCCTCCCCAGCTCCCAGCGGACACCGGTCCCGTAGGAGGGGCAACGGAGCCCGGGAAGCACGGCGGCGGTGTCCGGCGGGGGGGAGGGGTATACCTACAGCTACAGCTCGCGGTATACTGAGACGCCGCACCTGGAGCTGATCCCGACGTAGATGACGGGATCCGCCCAGCTGCGTGAGTGACAGCTGGCTCTGCCTATCTAGAGGCAGAGCCAGCTGTACCCGCCCCCTCCCCCGTCCGTTCCGCCAGTCAGCGCTGGCAGATCGGAGCGGGGAGAGGGGAATCCAGCCCCTCCCCCTGTCACGGCAGAGAGCCGTGACAGGATCGAGAGGTGAGGGAACCCGGTATGTGTTCGCTCACCTCCCGATCTACTGAGCCGACCTGTGACAGTCTCATTGTCACAGGTCGGCTAGAACTATGAGGTGAGTGGAAATCACTCATCTCATAGTTCTCCTTTAACATGCGACACGATGCACAAAAAGGGAAACTTGTCCACTGCTCCTTTTCCAGGTTGAATGACACCCTGCATCCCTCATCTTACTTCCTGTGCCCCCAAAGGTGTCGAGGACACGCCCCTCCGGTCTCACAGAAGGCCGCTGCAGATTACAGTGCCCACGTCATTACATGGCGCCATTCTCTGCAATACTCTCAACCGCTCACTGACTGGCGGGGACACTTGAGGTCATGTGGCCAGTAAACTCCTGCAAAAAATAAAAAGGTACTTATAGTGTAATTTACAAAATGGCAGAAGGGGCTTTGGAAGTTGGAATTGGCCGTTAATGTCCTATGTGTGTTACCTCAGAATGCCCCCCCCCATGTGTACAGCACATAATACATAATAACACGTCCAGAGACTACAGACTTTTTTTCTACGCTGCCCATATGCAAAGTATGTCTGTCTGTGTCCTGAGGTACAATTCATTGACAGTAAAGGATATTTTGGAGCCTCTTCATGAGCAGAGTCTTCCCCACACCGGAAGGCCCGAGAATCAAACACATCCTTCCCTCACAGTGTATACAACACCGGCGCCACCGTCTCCCTGGATACCTCTAGTCCCGCCCCTCCCACATCTCCACGCCTCGACGCCACGCCCTTGCCCTCACCTCGCCCCCGCCGCGCGATCTTCTCGCTCATTGGGCTCTCGCCGTGACACCGCCTCCTCAGCGAAGTCCCGCCCCACTGCTTCCGATCCCGAGTGACGGAAGCGGAAGAGTGTCTCTCTCGGTTGTTAGGTGTTCTTCGTCTCTCTGTCGATCGGTACCGTCAAGATGGGAAAAGGCGGCGGCACGTTCGAGAGGCTGCTGGGTGAGGAGAGCTGGGGAAGGCTGACATTGGTCACCACGGAGGGGGGTGCTGTTGTGTCATGAGTCACGTGAAGACAAGCCCTGTGTTTTCTTTTATTGTCCTTAGTCACCGTGGCCGCCCATAGACCCTGGCTGTCCACTGAGGGCCTAGAGGGCGAGACTCGGGGTCACCTCTTCCATCCTCAGTGTGGGGCCGTGTTTACATTATTGCGACAGCTGTCACCTCAGGAAACGTTAGCTGTGGTAATAATCGATAACCCCATTGGGGCCCCTGACACACTCATAAACTGGGTTTATTTTGCTTGCATTAGGCCAGCCTCTTCCCTACGGCTATGGAAGGGCCAATAGATAAGTTTACCTATCGCTTCCCTGTAGAAAATGCTGCTCTGGGCTCCCTCCTGTGCCTGTCATGTGATCCACTGAAGGTGAGGACCGAACCCTGTTCCCTATCTCTTCAGCAGAGATCACATGACGAAATGTCAGTCACATGACCAGGCACCTGGCGCGGAATATTCACCAGGGAAGGGTAATACTTTGCAGATTCACCTATGGAAGGTTAAAGTGTATCAAAGAGCAACAATGTTGATAGTGCAGCTCATCGGCCCTCAGATGTGGCGGCCGCATTCGTTTTACTTTTTAGGCTTTTTTTTTCTGGTGATCCTGCCAGTTACACACTTCCTGTCCTAGGGTGACATCATTGTCACCGTAGGACGAAACTGCAGAACACCTCCCCCCTCAGCTCAATAACATAGAGGGAGATTTACTGGAAACAAGGTAACTTTTATAAGAGTGCCGCACAGGAAGTTATCAGCTCTCCTGACATTTTTTTAAATTTCGGTTTTAAAATTTCCATTTCGGTGCACCTCTAAAAAATACCCTTGCAGTGGCCGTCCCCAATCCTTGGCACTGGAAGGGCTAAATGCGTGCCAGGAGTGGCCAAACTCCGGATCTCCAGCTGTTCTGGAACTACAAATCCCACGAGGCATTGCAAGATTCTCACAGCAACAGGCATGAGTTCCTGCGACAGATGCATGATGGGATTTGTGGTTTCACTAGAGCTGGAGGGCTGGAATTTGCCCACGTCTGGTCTAGGGAGTAGAGGAATAAGCAGTAAGACCCACATTGTACCTCGGTACGGCAGGCTTCCTTCTGGCTGCACGACCGGTCCCCCTTCTCCAGGCTCAGGCTTTCTAGGCATCATCATGTACAATGCAGGACCAGAAGTGCTGCATTGTGTGTGAGGACGCCGAGGGTCCACCCACATCCGGGGATATCGGAGAGTGGAGAATAGGTCAGCTGCTGGAGGAAGCAGGAATAGAGCAAGTATTCATTCCTAATCCAGGATGAGCAATTAACCCTTGAAGGGTGGGGTGGAGCTCACCTCAATGGAAATTTTTATAGCTTGCTGCAGTTCAGGTTTAACGTTCAAACAGTTTTCTTAAACTGGAACTCCAGGAAAATAATTTCTGATTTAGTTTACTAATTGTGCTCATAATTCATGCTGACGCTGTCCTTCCTTCGGGGGGCGGGCTTCTTTTGTTCCCCATGGTCCCTGTGTGTGTTGTAAAGTAGCCACTGCTCCAAGCTTGCTCCCGTCATGGACTACAATCTTAATACAAATTAGTAAACTGAACATGAGATTGTAGTCCATCCCGGGGGCGAGCTTGGAGCGGTGACTACTTTACAACACACACAGGGACCATGGGGAACAAAAGTAGCCACCCTCCAGAAGGAAGGACAGTGTCAGCACCAATTCAGAGATGATTGGAGGATCTACAGCCGAGTGATACACAAATAAGGTCCAGTAGTGTCAATAGTTGACGTACTTCAATGTATTTTTAAGATTTAGCTCCTGAGTTTAGTGTCTTTTGCTGGATGCACATATTTCTTGACTTTATAATTGTAATTGCCTAAGAGCGTCAATAATGAATACCACGCTCTAATTTTATCACAATGATTAAAGGAGAACTATGGGGTAAGTGTTTTTCCCCATAGTTCTCCTAGGGATCACGGGAGGACGTATACTAGCGTCCTCTCGTGACCCAAAGCTCAGTATATAGCGAGCTACAGCTCGTTGTATACTGAGACCGCCGCAGCCGGAACTGATCCCGACATTACTGTCGTGATCCACCCAGCGGCGTGATTGACAGCTGGCTCTGCCTATCTAGAGGCAGAGCCAGCTGTACCCGCCCGGTCCGTTCCGTCAGTCAGCGCTGGAGGATCGGACAGGGGAGGGGAGGAATCCCTGCAGGGAGCTGTTAGTGACAGTCACCGCTCTCTGCAGGGACATGATGGAGAAATGAGCGAGCGACAGTATGTGTTCGCTCACTTCCCGATCTATTGAGACGACGTGTGACAGTTTCATTGTCGCACGTCGACTCGAAGTATGAGGGTGAGTGAAAACCACTCGCCTCATAGTAATCCTTTAAACCGAACTATAAACGCACAATATGTGTCCACCTGATTTCTGTATATCTTTTTTTCCTTGTGATTGTCATTGTAATATCTGTTTTATTTCTCTAGATAAAGCCACCAGTCAGCTCCTGCTGGAGACAGACTGGGAGTCCATTCTGCAAATCTGTGATATGATCCGCCAGGGAGACACACAGTAAGTAGGCCCAGACCTGTCTGTTATTTTTAAGCTCGCTGACATAAGTAACTGTTTTGATGTAGAGTTCTTTCCAGACAGTTTTTTGGTATTTTGGGTGCAATGGAGAATTTCTTTATTTCCACAACATGTCCTGATTACATTTCAATATTGACAGTTAGTAGGAGTGAGAACGTGTTTACCCCAGTACTGTGTATTCTCCAAAGATCAAACGATTAGTTACCGCTCCCAGGTATGCATAACATTGGAGGGGGTGGCTTTTAAGATGCTTAGTTCACACTACAAAATTGGTAGAATGTTTAAATCTATGTTTTTATTATGAATTCGACATAAAAATCAAGTTTGTAGATACAAAGAGGTGAGTGATACATGTAGCTAGTTAAAAGTCTAAATGACAAGCAATACAGGTTTTGTTGCAGTGGTCTAGTTGTTATTTGTAGATACATTGAAAGATGACAGTTTCTCTAGGATCCTCAACATGTTTCACCGCTTTCCGGCTTCCTCAGGAGGGCCTCAAACCTAAAACACTGCAACTTTATGGACCAGACAACAAGATGAACTGACACATCAGAGACAAACTCCTCGGGGGGGGGCCAGCATGCACACGGGTGGGGTAACTGCCAGAAATGTAAACAGCCAGCGATGAGAGACGCCCGACCGCTTGTAATAGGTGCGGGTGTGCGAGACGCACACAGCTTACTAGCGCACACAAAGGTGGCTCCATAGGACCATTTATGGGAAAGGTGCCATCCTAATCAGCTGATTCTGCAGCAAACTAAAACTTTTTTACATCAAGGAGCATCATCTGTTGTGACTTTAATATCCCTTTTAATAAGCCGTGCCCTTGAAGATGGGGAGGGTTGCAGTGAAACAAGGGCTGTGCAGGGTGAGGAGATGTCTACAGGCAGGATGGTATGCACTTGATCCAGCAGCTCTAACCAAGGGAAAACATCCATGAAACTGAAGTGATTACAAGAAGAAGAAGAAAGGGAAAGATTGCACACATCTCGTGTAATAAAAACATTTTAACATTACTTATATAAAAACAATGTGACAACTCACACTTTTCCCATTTTAAATAGCTCAAATCAGGTCAGGGGGTATCAGTCCAGGGGTAGCCCACAAGTCATTGCCAGTGAGAAGAATGTAGGAATTGTTGTTAGTTGTGCAGAAAAGGACCCAATGTACAGATCTTATAACTAGCAGCATCCTTAGTCTGCTGGGTGCACCACTCAGGGAAAAGAGTGCAAACTGTGTCAGGATGGGGGTCCAGGGAGCCAGAGGAGCTTCCGAGGGAGTCCTGACAAACAGGTACTCCCTTGAAATTGTTCACGTTGCTCCCTACGCCCTTATCCTGACACAGATGGCACCCAGAGGACCATAGATTATGATTTGATCTGTTTAGGATCTGTACAGTGGGTTCCATTGTGCCAGACAATTGTCAGATGCAGGTCGTACAAGGCAGCCCACATCTCTGCTTTGCTCTGCTTATGCTGTCTGTAAAAATTTCCTTAAAAGCCCAATGTCACAAGAGAGACATTTTAAATGAATAGCCCAGCATGTAAAATAATAAAATGGAAGATCTGCTTTGGCTGCAATGCTCCTCTCCACATCAGTGCTGTCCCTCTCCCCGATCCAGCGCCACTCCTCTTCCAGGTAAATGACATCCAGCTATCGTCCTATGATCCCAATCCTTCATAGACATGGCGCCTGGAGGTGTGTCATTACACCAGTCTGGATTCACTGTACTCTTGGACAGCGCGACACTAGCATGTATTTTGTGAGCTCCATGCTGTCCAGGAGGAAGGGATCGTCACTGCCAGAAGAGAAGAGGAAAGGACCTTTGATGGCAATGGACCATCCAGAAAACTGCAGGAAAAAAGTAAATTGGGTTTTTAAAAAAAATAGGGTTGGGGAGGGGAGTGTAGTTGGGCTTTAAAGTGTCTGTCTATAAAAGCGGGTTATCTGCAGGTTTTGTTATATGTGTAGTTTTGGCAATTACCTTATCTGCTTCGCTAAAGAATGCTATTACACATTTTAAATCTCTATTGTAAACATAAAACAATCTCTCCCCCTACCCCACCCAAAAAAAACCCCAGAATCTTCTTTTTCAGTTTGTGGAGTGTGACCCATTGAATATTTGGGTATATAAGTCACATACAGAATACAATGTATGTCCTGATTCTTTGGCTTTTTAGAACTGTAATTTTATCTGGTGTTTATTATCATTCTGTTCTGTTCCAGAGCGAAATACGCCGTTGCCTCTATCAAGAAGAAGGTTAATGACAAAAACCCACACGTGGCTCTTTTTGCCCTTGAGGTAAGCTGTGGGGTTTTACATACCGTTCTCAGTGTTAGGGTGGGCTCCTCATTTCTCAAGAGGCCATCTCCTTTATGAGGGGGTCATGATTCTACATTAGAGCCTGAGGTTGGCCATACACGTTGTTTGCTCTTGTTCATCTCTGCGGGAAAAACCTTTTATTTCCCAACTCCACCCCCTCCGCTGGGCTATTGTATTCTGACAGCGGTAGGTTTGTCGCTTTTAGAATACCCTGATTGGCCGCAGTCACTGTTCAACCTAGAGTTTTTAGAGATTTTTTTGAGGGGAATTTATCAAACTGGAGCAGACAAAATCTGGAGCAGATGTGCATGACAACCAATCAGCTTCTCTCTTTTTCAAAACTCAACACACTAAAGAGAGAAGCTGATTGGTTGCCCTGGGCAACTGCTCCAGTTTTGATAAATTCCCCCCATTTTCCACTTCCTAACAGGCTCAACTGTCCAGCAAAAGTGACGGTTACAGGGGTTGGAAAAAAAGAACGTAACTCTAGTGGGGGTTGCTTACAACGGTCAGATTTTACTTGTTTGCTTTAAGCTTTTTATTCCAAAAGAAGAAAAAGACTGTTATTGTAACCGCCTACAGAGTGTTCGCTGGAGTTGGGTTTTAATTTGTTTGTCTTAGCCAAAGTCCATCTAAGGCCCCATTCACATTGAGCGATTTTCCGCGCGATTTTATATGAGCGATATTGAGCGACGTGTCGCGTGACTTTTCCCTATTGGGCTGTATGCAATCAGGAGCAAAATCGCTCAAAAAAAGGGACATGTAGGTGCTACAAGCGATATTGTCACTGTCACAAGTCACACTGTCACAAGTTGGCTCAATAGATCGGGAAGTGAGAGAGCGCATACCGTCGCTCACTCACTCTCAATCATGTCCCTGCAGAGAGTCGTGACTGTCACTCATGGCTCCCTGCAGGGATCCCTCCCTCCCAGCTCCGATCCTCCAGCGTTGACTGGCAGAACGGATGGGGAAGGGGCGGGTACAGCTGGCTCTGCCTCTAGATAGGCAGAGCCAGCTGTCAATCACGCAGCTGGGTGGATCTCGACAGTAATGTCGGGATCCATCCCGGCTGCGGCGGTCTCAGTATACCGCGAGCTGTAGCTCGCGGTATACTGAGCTTTGGGTCACAGGAGGACACTAATACATTATATGTCCTCCCGTGACCCTAAAGAGAACTATTGGGAAAAACACTGATCCCATAGTTCTCCTTTTAACAGGCAGTAAAACTGTTGTAGAGTAGCTCTGCTGTGTTATTGCTAGGGACAGACTGCGGCATCTATGTCAGTTTTTGTTTTGCCTTTAGTGTATTAATAAATAAATAAACTTGCACCTTTACCGATACTAGTATTGGTATTGTTGCCTATACCGAGTATCTGGGCGAGTACTTTTACTTGCCTAAATGCTCCAATACCTTCCCTGATACCAGAGCTTTTGGTCAGAGGGAGATTTGCTCTGACCAGCAGTGCCGCAATGGAACAAGGGGCTGGCTTCCGGGCCAATTAGGAAGCCAGGCGGCGGGTATTGACTCGCCGACTGGCTTCCTGTTTGGCTGGAAAGCTGATTCCATGCTTTTTGGCTGGCTCCGCTTTCCAGCCAATCTGCATCGAGGCGGCCAAACAGTTGGCTCGATGTTGATTGGCTGGCAAGTCGGCTTCCCGGCCAGTCAGCATCGATCCAGCCAAACAGAATGGAGTCAGCTTCCCGGCCAATCAACATCGAGCCGGCCAAACAGCCATTTCAATTTTTTTTTGCTGTGTAGCAATCCCAGAGTTCCACTTTAAATGAAAGCGTAATCATAAATACTTTGTTGCCATTTATAATCTTGTTGTTTTTAATACCTTTTTTATCACTATGTTCCCATAGCATTTGGTTACATCGATTTTTGCTTTATTCCCCCAGGTTATGGAGTCTGTGGTGAAAAACTGTGGCTCAACTGTACACGATGAGGTGGCAAATAAGCTAACTATGGAAGAGCTAAAAGAACTACAGAAGGTAATAATGTGTATATATCTGTAGATAGCAGATCATTAGAAATATTCATTCTGCAAAGGTCATTCAGTTACTGAGACTTCCTAGTCATTTGCCTCACCTCCAGAAGCTCCACCCATTCCCAAGCACCTCTCTTCCGACTGGTATTTGCTTGGGAAAGCCCCATAGACTATCTTGTGACTATTACACAACTTCCTGAACAGTCAGGTGAACTGTGTCATGCAGCTCAGATAGTGTATTGTAAAGCAACTTCTGGAATCAGACTGTTGTACTAAACAAAGTTCAGATGCAAGAATCACTAAGCTATGTAGTGCACCAGACTCTCTAGGTAGTGAGTTTGTTAGTGATTTTTTAATTTTTTTTTATTTAGCGAGTTGTGGAACCGAACGTTCGGAACAAGATCCTGTATCTGATCCAGGCCTGGGCCCACGCCTTTCGCAACGAACCCAAGTATAAAGTTGTACAGGACACCTATCAGATCATGAAGGTGGAAGGTAAGGAAGGCTTCCTGCTACAGAGGACACACTGAACATTGGATGTAATGAGGATTTTGCTCACAGCAGCTTTTAATTAATCTATTTTCATTTTTATTTCCCTGTAAATGGAGTTCTTATGCAGAAGTCATTTAAAGAGGTTGTTGAGAGATCATTAAGCCCTTTCCATTGACAGAGAAGGTTGTTCAGTGAATTTTAGTCTCCAGGTCCACAGGAGAGCCAAGGACTTGTTTTGTGTTGTTTTTTTAAGTGGACCTGTCCCGTGGATTCCAGACTGGGGCCTTAAAATTCTGGCTTTGTTACTATTAAACCCTGCTTGCTCCTGTTACTAAGCCCCTACTGCTCACTAAAGTTCTGACATTTGTCGGTTGACTGATGGGCAGTGCTCAGTACTTGCAAGGAAGGGGCTTAGGATAGAAGTTTAGGAGTCCCCCTGTATAGAATCCAAGGGGATCCACACTGGCACATCAATAACATAGGTATTTGCCGGCCCCACAAAGTGCTGCACTTCAGCACCGTCAGCCCACCAAACCTGCAGTCTGTCTTTAGAAAACCCTTCGCTTCCTTCAAGGAAATTACTTAGGGTCGTAAGTTGCTAAGCAGCCTCCGTCTGTAAGCGGAAGAATTTAACTCTTGCAGAATTTGTTATTTCTAATGCTGAATTTGTACATTCCTAGAATTAATGGACTTCTTTACTGAGACCTTATAGGACATGGAAAGAGGTAAACGGTAGCTCCCATTTCTTCTGGCTACATCTACGGTTGGGTCAGTGCAGTTCTGTGATCCATTTAGAAGTTTGTCAGGGGCTGTATCTGAGCAGTGAGCTACAAGGAACAGTTATGCTGCACAGTGCAGTGATCCGCAGTAGCCAGAACTCCATTCACTTTTTTGATTACATGAAAGTGATTCTGTTGCTTTCTTTGGGAATTCTGAAGAGCTCCTTGGAACTGAAGACTGTAAATACTTACCATTACCATGAGTCTGAACGCCTCCATCTTCCATTGCTGCAGCCTTTGGCATTTGACACTTCCAGGAGTGTCATATGCCGGCATCCCCCGACGCTCCCTACGGTGCCTTCTTCCATCTGCTATGTCATTACAGGACTCAGCGGTAACGTAGGTGCCAGAGTGAGGAGCCACAGCGCAAGGTTGGTGATGCAGGCATTTGACATTCCAGGGAATGTTGAATGCCAAAGACTTTGCTGGAGGCTACACCACTGGAAGATTGATAAGTTGACTTGCCACCCACTGAAGAGGTACATCTAGAGAAGCCTTCTTTAGAATACTCAGGGGATGCAACAGAGTAGATTTAAAAGCCAAATTCCAACTATTTTTTTCTATAGAGTGGAGAAGTATTAAAGTTTCTGCGTTGCCATTGGGATGATTTTCCCTCGCTTCCTGTCCCACTGACAACAGGCCAAGAAATGGTTAGGGGGGATAATGGATGTCACCGGGACAGAAAGGCACAGATAGCAATAAAACATTGGAAGTTTTAACACTTCACAAACTTCTGTGTCCATATTGATGAGCTTTCCACTTACTTCCTGCCAGGACAGGAAGTGAGGGAAAATCTCACCAATAGGGAGGCAGCAATAAGGTGAAGTGTCTGATACACATTAACACACTTTTGCTAGAGTAGCTTTGAGACTTCATATATTTCTGTGTTTTTTTTTTTCTCTCTTCAGGTCACAACTTCCCTGAGTTCAAGGAGAGTGATGCCATGTTTGCTGCTGAGCGAGTGAGTCCATTGTAAATTCTTCTTCGGTGGGGAAATGTAGCACTGAAGGGTAAAAACGGAATCTTGACCAGCTTTCTTTATTCTGCAGGCTCCTGATTGGGTAGACGCCGAGGAGTGTCATCGCTGCCGTGTTCAGTTTGGAGTCGTGACGCGGAAGGTACGTGTGGCACTTGTCTTTTTATGTTCTGCAGCCTCTTTGTTCCCACCTGCATGTTTCCAACCAAGCCCACCGTTTTATATTTCTGTCATTCTTTTTTCCTTGCAGCATCACTGTAGAGCCTGCGGGCAGATTTTCTGCGGGAAGTGTTCTTCAAAGTACTCCACCATCCCCAAGTTCGGCATCGAGAAAGAAGTACGTGTGTGCGAGCCCTGCTATGAACAGTTGAACAAGTAAGTGCCTTTGGTGAAACAATAGCCACCATTATGTTTTAAGCACAAGCACTCGATTGGCTTTTGGTTTTGCTTCTCAAAAGCCGTCCTTGGCATGTGCCTCACTGAACCTGTGTTGTCCTGTTGCAGGAAGGGAGAAGGAAAGTCCGCCACCAGCGGTGAACTGCCCCCAGAATACTTGACCAGCCCTCTGTCTCAGCAATCACAGGTGAGAGGAACATGCCACCTATGTGAACTTTAAATGGAAACTTTTTAGACTACCCTTATTTCAAATATAAGTTAGCTCATATCTGATGTTTTACCAGAATTCTTGCTCGCAGGGATGCCAGCAGAAAGATCTTCACTTTAGAGTTCCATGCTCCCCTCTCATCACAGCCAGTGTTCCCTGTCCACTAAAAAGCCAAACACAATAATGGCTGTGGTGTGACGGAGGGGGGCAGAGTGAAACAAGATGTAACGGCTCCTTGTTGGAGCCCAAAAATTAGAAAGCTTGTGGGTTCTTAAAACGATCAAAACAAAGAAACATCACAAAAATTCCTTGTGTAGGGGAAGTTATCTGACCGGGTGTTGTACATAGAAGAAACATATGATATGTGTGCAACGGAAAAAGGGAATTTTGGTAAGGAAGTTACTGCATACTCAGAATTTGGGTCTCAGACTTGGTAGTGCAGCAATCCTTAGCTATCGGTGCATGGCATACCCCATTATATTAGACAATTTTTTAACAAATATTACCTTGGTGTATACCATCATTTCTCAATGACTTCTGAAGTATGTATGTGTGTGTGTATATATAATATATTGCCTGTACCCTATAACAGGGCTGGACAAATCCAGGTCGCCATGGCGACGAAAAAAAGCTCTCTGGCGACCAGGTATTATAGCATTTTATATGGTTTCATTGATTACAGTTTCACCAGCCGCCACTAGATGGCATCCAGTAGAAACAGCATTTCCTAATTCAGTCACAAGTGTTTCTTTCTTAATGGGGTTTTTTTTTGTATGGTGAGAGGACGTATGGGTCAGTGCTGTGATCGTGAGCGGACGTATGGGTCAGTGCTGTGATCGTGAGCGGACGTATGGGTCAGTGCTGTGATCGTGAGCGGACGTATGGGTCAGTGCTGTGATCGTAAGAGGACGTATGGGTCAGTGCTGTGATCGTAAGAGGACGTATGGGTCAGTGCTGTGATCGTAAGAGGACGTATGGGTCAGTGCTGTGATCGTAAGAGGACGTATGGGTCAGTGCTGTGATCGTAAGAGGACGTATGGGTCAGTGCTGTGATCGTAAGAGGACGTATGGGTCAGTGCTGTGATCGTAAGAGGACGTATGGGTCAGTGCTGTGATCGTAAGAGGACGTATGGGTCAGTGCTGTGATCGTAAGAGGACGTATGGGTCAGTGCTGTGATCGTAAGAGGACGTATGGGTCAGTGCTGTGATCGTAAGAGGACGTATGGGTCAGTGCTGTGAGAGGACATATGGCTCAATACTGTGAATGTAGGAGAGCATTTGGGTCAATACTCTGCTAGTGAGAAGGCATATGGGATTAGTAATGTGAGTGTAAGAGAACGTATGAGTCAGTACTGTCTGTGTAGGCTTGTCCAAAAAACAGGGCAATGACAACCAGGGTTTGTCTGGGTCTGTTTTACTGATTTAATTTTTTCCATACACACTTTACTTTTGTGTTTTGTGAATTTGTGTAAATATGTCAGTAAAATAAGATTGGGAAATACTGATCGCCATGGCGAACGGCTGTAGTTTGTCCAACTTTTTCGGCTGGCTCCTAGATCTCTGTGAGATTTGTCCAGGCCTGCCCTATAAAGATGTGTGTGCCTTCACCTAACTAAATAACCCATACTTGTCTTTTCTGTTATGTGTCACTTACATTCTAAAGCTTTAGGCTGTTACATTAATTGAGCTTTATTTGCAAGCGGTATCCCTAGGGGTGGTTATGCCTTTGGGTGGAATATCTGGCATTGTATGCCCCGGGTTTGGGACAAATTTGAAGTGTATGCAAGGCCAAAACCTCTAGAGTCAGAAAGGGTTTCTCCAAAGTGAACAAAGTTCCAATCTTACAGATTTGTCACAGGGACAAATATCCCCATTGGCGGGAGGTGTTCCCTTACCAGTTACTCTGGTGACCACTCCAAAAATTTGGATTTGCCTTCTGTCTCAGCATCGTTGGGGATGCGTTGGCCCTCTTGAGTTTTACAACAGATTGTAAAAATTATATGGTTGGCTTTAAGCCACCATTCCGAATACCCATAGATGATGGGTACGGGTACAGCACCTAGTTTTAGTGTTTTTGGCATTCCTCCTTTTTTAACCCCCTAAATGTTCTGTGTTTAGATGCCACCTAAGAAGGATGAGAGTGCTCTGCAGGAGGAGGAGGAACTGCAGTTGGCCATCGCCTTGTCACAGTCTGAGGCTGAAGAAAAGGAAAGAATGGCAAGTTGGCTTCCATTGCTGATAGATATCCTAGTGTGGGTTTTTGGATATAGGGAGCCTCAGCTAATGTGGATGATTTTGGTCTTGACTTGCAGAGACAAAAGAACACGTATGGCGTGTATCCAAAGGCAGACCCGACCGCCGTTACCTCCTCCGCCCCGCCGGCCAGTACTCTCTACGCCTCTGTGGTGAGTTGCTGTTTGGCACATTCAGATTCCCCGATTGATCATTAAAGACGGGTTGTTGTTGATGACATGTATTAAATTTTATATTTTTTTTTGTCCCCAACAATTTTTAGAATTCCTCTGCTCCACTTGCAGAAGAAATAGACCCCGAGGTAATACATTATAGGATTATTACTGGACAGAATTATTTTTGGTTGCCTTTCATTATGCTCGGCCTCATCTGTCTTTTCTGTGCAGCTTGCTCGCTATCTGAACCGCAATTACTGGGAGAAGAAACAGGAGGAGGTGCGGAAGAGCCCCACTCCATCCGCACCAGTACCAACAAGTGAGCCTGCGGTGCAGGTGGCTGAGGTGCCACCAGTCAGCATGGTCAGTGTTATGGAGGTAAGAATCCTGTTTCGTTTTTAGCCAAGCAGGTCGACATTTCAGCAGCTTGGCTGTGTACCCCGTATCGCCAGCATATCAATAATTCGAAATCACCTGCACTCCATACAGCATACAGACCTTGGATGAAAGGTTGGTGCTTGAAGTGGCAACACGGGTGGCGCCATGTCAGATACAGTCCATAACAGAAGTCACCAGCACTCGATGTGTTTAAGAAGTAGAGCACATTTTATTAAATTGTCACAAGCGTCATACAGCCAACGTTTCGGGGGCCACGCAGGGTCCCTTCTTCTTTTGGCTGTATGACGCTTGTGACGATTTAATGAAAGGTGCTTTACTTCTCACCAGCATATCCTTCACACAGTATTTTAAAGAATATCCCATTGTAGTGAAACTAAACATTGTAAACACTTATTCAGTTGCTATGTTGGTTCTGGACTCAATTACCTCCCATTCCTTCAGCAGCAGTACCAGAACGGCGAGTCGGAGGAGAATCACGAGCAGTTCTTGAAGGCGCTGCAGAACGCCGTCACCACTTTCGTGAATCGTATGAAGAGCAACCACATGCGTGGCAGGAGCATCACCAATGACTCGGCTGTGCTGTCCCTCTTCCAGTCTATTAACAACATGCACCCACAGCTCCTGGAGCTGCTCAACCAGCTGGATGAGAGACGCTGTAGGTACCAGGGACTTAATGGGGGCACATTGCTGTATGATTGCGGGTTTGGTATTATATATTAGGGATAATGAGATTATTTTACATAGCTTATAGTGTTTGTGTTTTTGCACTTTTTGCTACTCCAAATATTAATTGGTGGACAGATCGGACCTCTGGGTATAGGCTCTGCCACTGGAAGAATGGAAATGAATACAAAAAAAAGCAGAGGGATATACTCCTACCATCTTTGTTTGTAAACCCTTTTCTTTACAGAAAGAAAGAGCACAGTTTTAGCTTAATGTCCTAGAAGGAAGACCAATGTATTGATTTCCCTCCAGTTTTTAGATTTAGTGCCTTAAGTCCTAGCTCAGGAGTATTTCTCCCAGGCTCTTAGCAGTATCACAGCAGACCCAGAGGTGCGCTGCCAGGAATCCTATCTAATGCTGCCTTGATCCCCACATCATCACCCTCCAGATCTAGAGATCTATGGTGAGCTTGTGACTCTCAGCTGTCTAAATTTGAGCCTCCTCTTGGGGATAGATACCTGGGGTACTAAGCTCCCTAGTCTGCTGTGTCCTTTAGGGAAGTGTGGGGTTGTCTGCTCTGCTGCTTCCTTCTGGCGGCCACAGGGTTAATCCTAGGGGCTGGGTGCCTGTTCCTTTCATTTGGCAGCTGTCCAGTGATTCATATGGTTCTCTTTTGTGCTTCAGGTTCTGTCATTACTTACTGGTGACATTTATTTGAAAACCCTTTTCAGTATTGTCAAATATTGCTACTTGACAGTGTTTGCATAGAGCACAAGCTGTTTTTACTGACCGCATTATAGAAGGCCCTGCCCTGAACACTGATGACGCTGTTTGCTTTGAATGGGACAATATGCATGAGGTGATGGAACTGACTTCTTGACTCCTGAACATCCACTAATATGCTGTTGGGTATTGAAGGGTAGTGAAGATGAAAGTCTGAAGAAAAACATTTTGATTTGCATGTATATACTACTACTGAGCAGGGTATCTGCCATTTTAAACGTCACTAGGTACGGAGGAATTTGCCATTACAGTACACACCAGGATCCTGCATATTGGAGGTGTCTTTAGATTCCAGGATACTTAGTTGTCTTTGACTTACGACATCTAGTGGCTCTGTATATACCAACCAACGTCATACAGTAGACAATGTGAGCTTGTTGGCACTGTTCATTTTAGGCTAGTAAAATAAAGCGTAAGGAGTACACTAACATCAGAACATGTTTCTCCACAGTGTATTATGAAGGTCTTCAGGACAAGCTGGCCCAGATCAGAGACGCCCGTGGGGCTCTCAATGCACTTCGCGAGGAGCACAGAGAAAAGCTGCGACGAGCTGCAGAGGAGTCCGAAAGGCAGCGGCAAATACAGCTAGCACAGAAGCTAGAGATAATGAGGCAGAAGAAACAGGTAAGACACGCACGACGGCCGCTAAGCGTATACACGGGTTACGATGAGCAAGACTTACACGTCATACCTGTGTCTTTAGGAATATTTGGAGATGCAGCGCCAGCTTGCCATCCAGCGCCTGCAGGAACAGGAGAAGGAAAGGCAGATGCGTCTGGAGCAGCAGAAGCAGACCATCCAGATGAGAGCCCAGATGCCAGCTTTCTCTCTGCCGTATGCACAGGTGCGTTTCTATTGTTGCCGGAGCACAACGTAATATCCTATACAATCGCTGATGCATTTTTATGCCCAGGCATTACCCAAATTTACCTCCCAGTCCCACTCTATAAAATGCCCCAGCTAATGTTGGGGGGTTTTACGTCATTTTCAGGCCTAAAATGTGGAATATAACATGGGTGCAAAAATTGAAAAAAGGGCCTCAGTCATGAAGGGGTTAATGATTGTCTTTTATGTTCCTGAAGTGAGAAACTGCTTTTATTACTCCAGTAAGATTGTCATCTGGGTTGTAAAAGCCTGACAGGCAGCTGCTGGGAGCCCAGTTCCTGTTGACATACGCATGCCACCAGAGCTGCATCTGCCTAGAGCCCTTTCACTACACAATATGTGTGGACTCCTGGGAGTCCAGACAGAGGCATCGTCTTGCTAGGCAGAGTTGTGTAGGCCAGCAGGCAGTGCTTGGGATATCATTGCAGTAAAGGTATTGTGTGGTCAGCCAAAACATGAAGTTAGGAGTACACTGGATTTCTATACCGGAATATAACAGGAAGAATGAATGAGAATGTATTGGAGAGCTGCACTGAATGGTTTGGTGTTTTTTTTTTTTTTGTCCCTGACAGATGCAGTCCATGCCATCATCGGGTGGTGTCATGTACCCACCTTCTGGCCCCAATGCTTATCCGGGCACCTTCAGTCCATCGGGCTCAGTGGAGGGCTCTCCTATGCACGGGGTGTACATGAATCAACCAGGGCAGCCCGGCTCTGGGCCCTATACCGCAATGCCGGTACCTGGGACAGGTAAGTGACTACCTAGACTCTGCCTCGGTGTTAATAAAGCGGGCTGTTTTTGTTAATGGTCTCCTCATTGTCCTTTTTACAGACCCTGGCATGGTAAATGCCTATATGTACCAAGCAGGATCTGCTCCTGCAGCACAGCAAGGACAGCCAACTACCAACCCTGCGTACAACTCCTACCAGCCCACTCCAACACAGCCCTACCAGGTGAGCTCTGTTTCAGCTTAATGTGCAGATTTGTCGTGGACAATGCAAATAATAGGTCAACTTTTCCTTTTAGCCTTTCCATTTCCCCCTTCTCATAAACATGTTGGGTTTTATTTAAAAGTGTCATCTTGTTTTCAGTGCATACTTTGTTAGACCCAGTGATGTACTGCTCTACGCAGTGCAGGTAGAACATGGCTGTTGAAAGGAGCTGTAAATGGCTCCCTGAAAACCGGAGACCAACCTAGGTATAGCTCATATATGTGATGCTGATCCTCCACAATTGAAAGAACTGAAGTCCAATGAATGAAAGTGGCAGACCAGGAATAATCAGGCTGGGAGGAAAGAGCTAGTAGGTAATGCTGGAGATCCTCCAGCCAGGAAATATGGTAGCCTCTATTAGACTTGCTGCAGCTTCTAATGCACATTGTGAGAAGCTCCCAGTGTGCAGGGATATCCGAGTAAGCAATCTCAGTCCAGGAGAGGAGCCGGTACAACTGTGCAAGACTGAGACCCCGTTCACATTGAGCGATTTATCGCGCGGTAATTCCCGCGATATCGCGGCAAATTACCGCGCGATATCGCGCTCCAATGCAATCCAATGGGGCAAAGGGTCCTGCTGTCGCGGGTCGTGTGTCGCTACAGCAGGACCCTTTTTGGAGCGGATTTAGCCGCGATTCAAGCTTGCTCAATGCAAGCTTGAACGCGACATCGCGCGGCAAATCTCGCGATGTCGCGCAAATATGCAAATCGCGCGACAAACGCGCGATTTGCATATCGCGCAGTGGGAACGGGGCCTTAAGGGAAAGCCACAGTTCAGCTTTCAATGCTTTTAATCCCAGCCGAACCATTTTATTTAGTTAGGAAAATTAAGAAAGTATGACAGAGATAAAAAAACCTCACCGACATTTTAACCATTCCTAACTTTATCCAAAACCAAAACATTTAGGGCTGGCGTTGGGCTTTAATTTGTTGCTTGCTTAAAGTACGCCCAATATTACACGTCCATCTAAGGACTCCCCTGTCCACAGGATGACAACACCACTGTGTTATTAAATGGCAAACGGCATTGTCACCCTGTTAAAGGATGAGGAAAAAAACCAGACCTACTGGCAGGATCAACAGGTAATAAAACTGTTGCAGGGAGGACTCATTTTGCCCATATTTCTGCTTTAAGTTGTTGTATTTTTTTCTTTTTCAGAACGCGACCTCCCAGAATCCTCCTGCTAGCGGGATGAATTACATGGGTGCACAGTCTGTCCCCATGGGCTATCAGCCATATAACATGCAGGTTAGTTCAATTAATGTGCAAGGCTAAAAGTGAATTTGAAGTGACCCTAGGCTCGGGAGTTAAATCTTTTAAAAATGCATTCAAGTGGATTGTAAAGTAGCTCCAAGCTCACTCCCGTGATGGACTACAATCTTAATACAAATGAGTAAACTAAACATGAGATTGTAGTCTCTCACAGCAGTGAGCTTGGAGCGGTGGCTACTCTACAACACACAGGGACCATGGGGAACAAAAGTAGCCCCCCTCCAGAAGGAAGGACAGTGTCAGCACCAATTCAGAGATGATTTGAGGATCTACAGCCGAGTGATACACAAATAAGATATTTCTTGAATTCATTTCTAAGATTTAACTCCAGAGTTCAGTGTCACTTTAAAGGATAAGTACACTTTAAAACAAAATGCCCTTATGGCTTTGCCCCTTTTTTTCCTGACCTGATCTGAGCTAACTCGCCCTTCCACTCCAAAGATGCATACTTGCCTCAATTCGATGGCTGGGCCTCTGGTATTGGTTTACATCATGGCTTCGCTTGCATTTACCAGCTGCATAAACTTCTATGGGACAGTATCTGGCCAGTAGACACCGCCCTATAGAAGTCTGTGGGGCTTTAATCACAGGTGCAGCCAGGAAACTGAGACCTGCGGTGCTAGATGTAAACAAATACGGGAGGTGGCCATCAGATCAAGCTAGGTATGCATCTTTGGAGGGGAAGGTCTGGTTAGGTCAGGGGAGGGGGCCAAATGGATAAGCGCAGTTTGCTTTTAATCTTTCTCTGCCTGTGTGCAGCCGCAAGTGCGAAATTCGCATAATGTGTGACCAGCTTTGATAGTCACTTACTTTCTACCTCTGTGACATTGGTCGCCAGGACAAATAGAGAATTGATGGCAAATAAAACCTGACGCAGGGTCTCATCCTTCCACTCTATCCAAAACTAATCAAAAGCATTGCTTTGACGTACACTTTAACCCTTTCACTGCCACAGACATGAAGTATTACATCTGTGACAGAAGGGAGCTGTACACACTCCTGGCTGCTATATTGAATGCATTTTTTTTACTGAAAATGTGGGTTTGATTTAGGCCTGGTTCACACCTGGGTGTTTTTACAGCGCGTTACTACGCGATGTAAAACGCTCAACATGTGAAAACCAATAATTGCCTCTGGGTATGGTTCCCACCTGGGCGTTTTACAGCGCGTAGGAACGCGCTGTAAAACGCCCTACGCCCAAAGAAGCCCAAAGAAGAGCTTCTTTGGGGGCATATTTGCCGCGCGTATCCATCAGGATACAGCCGGATAGCCCTCGGAAACGCGCGTTAATTGTGCATTTCTTTTACCGCAAATTGCTGTAAAAACTCGCGGCAAATGCGCATATTCCTTACACCCACGTGTGAACCCAACTTAACAGTTGCACTAATATCATGTGACATAAACAATTGCAACTGCCACTATTTATTCTACAGGGTCTCATTTCTGCTCTCCCTGGACAAGACCCAGCGATGAACAATATGCCTTCCCAGCAACCTTACCACCCTGGACAACAGCAGATGTACCAACCGGTATGTGATGATCGCCTCCTGTGATCGGGTCTTGGGAGGATGACATGTCATATGAAACACAGTGGGTTGAGTTGAGTGGAATTAAAGTGTATGTAAACTCTGACAATGAGCTTCTCTTATTTGCTCCCTTTTTGGTATGTTAAAGAGGAACATTACCTGCCAATTCAATGTCTCCTAAAACAGATACTTGTAAAGAAAAACCCCAAGAAATGTTTTATTAACCCTTGCAGTGGGGCTATGAAAAAAACGTAAATTATTTGCACTTATGGACAACACCCGAATCTTATATAATGTGACAGCTGCAGTGAAAACAAGAGGAAACGTGTAGTGTTCCTCCAATCAAACAATAGTGGGGCTACCCATGCACAGCAAGGGTTAACTGCTTGTTTTTGTGTAGGTTAAAAAACAAAACTTATACTCACCTGAAGCATGGAGCCGGCTTGTTCTTAGACTGGTCCTTCCAATGTCTCCCTCACCTCCGATGCAATGATCTAAGGTGCCTTAAATCATCACATTCTATGCTGTGTGTATAGACATGAGGATGCTGAAGAACATTCCAATGCTGCAGCAAAGGACAAGACAGGTTAGAGGTAGCGCTGCAACAGCCGGCTGGCTCGAAGCTTCGAGTGAGCACAACTATATTTTTTAACCTGGACAAAAAACAAGCACTTAACCCTTGCAGTGGGGCTACCCTAATAAAGAAATCTCCTGGAATTCTGCTTTAAGGCATGCTAACCGTCAAGTAGGGATGCACCGATACTGAGTATTTGGGGGAGTACTCGTACTCCCTCAAATGCTCCCGATGCCTATCTCAATACCGGAACTTCAGGAATCAGGGCAGCTAGTAATTACACGCCGCCCGGCTTCTTTTAATGGGACTTCCGGTATCTGTTTTCTGTATCGGCGAGTACCAAAAAAAAAATATCGGTACTTGTGCTCCGATACAGAAAAACCGGTATCGGTACATCCCTACCGGCAAGGTTGCCAGAGTGCTTATTTCACCTCTCAACTGAATTGTCAAGCCCTGAAATGACCGGTGTCAAATGCTGATCACATGTGCAGCCTCATGGCAACTGCAGTCCAAATAGAGCAGGGGTGGGCAGCTCCGGCCCTCCAGCTGTTGTGGAACTTCAACTCCCATGAGGCATTGCAAGACCGACAGTTACAGGCAGGACTCCCAGAGGCTTGGTGGGATTTGTAATTCAAGCACAACTGGAGGGCCGGAGTTGTCCACGTCTGAAATTTAAGGTTAAGATGGCACACTCATTGCCTATAAAGGGATAGGGGGGCTGCAGTTGTAATTGTGCTTTAAATATACAATTTGACGTGTTTTTGTTATATATTTTTAATACGTGCACAAAATACCTGTTGATCATGTCCATTATTCAGATCTGTCCTGTGCACAGTGTCCTCCCAGTTTGTATCTTGCAGTACAGAACAATAAGTCCCTATGATGTGGAGGTAAGAACGGGCAGGAATCAGTACTTTATCCACAGACATCTGGGCAGGGCTGGCACCAAGCCTTGCAATTTTAGTCCACGATAGGGCATGTGATGTCACTCCACAAGAGGACATTAGGAGCCGAGTGCATTTCTGGCAGATTGACCGGTACCCTGTACTTGCAGGGTCTTTAAAATAATAAAACATGGGGAAAACACACACACACGCAACAACTGTACATTTCCCCCTGTTGTATTGTTCTGAAAAGTAACATCACTGAGCGATGTTTGGGGCACCTCTCCCTACAGTGTCTTCGAGGGGACAATCCCTCCATGACGTTTCGGTGGCACGAGAGGTAAGTGATTACACTCTACTTTTTAGTTTGCAGGTTCATTTTGATATTAGTGACAGGGTCACTTTAAGGGACTGAAATATTTGTCCTTTTGTGCAGTATATGTTGTATTTAGTATGCTGGTCTATGGAGTGATTGTTTCTCTTTTCTCTTATAGATGGCAGTAGGTGCTGGTCAGCAGCAGCCTCCACAGCAGCAAGCAACACACGGGCAGCAAGTGCCAGGGGGCAGCGAAGCCCAGTTAATCTGTTTTGATTGATACTCTGAAGCACCCGTCTGTTCCCGGCCATCTGTCAGAATTAACCCCACCCTCGCCACAGCTGGCATTCCCTGCCGACATGTGTAGCATGCTTTCTTTATCAGTACTGCTGCAGTAAACACTACATTTATGTAACTGCCATTTCCTGTGTCTTACCTAGCTGTGCTCCATCTGCCGGCTTCCTCTCTACGATCGCCACCGCTGGCCAATGCCTCACTGCTCTCTACTAACATTGTAATCTGTCCGTAGCCCACCTGTAAGATGTCCAGAGCTGCTCATCCTACCGAGCCTCTCACTCACCTCGGCCGACATCCTCTGCCTAGCACCTGCTGCTGCTGCCACCTCTTTTTTTAAAGGAGCCCCCATCCCATGTTTGTTGCTCACACGTTACACGAGAAATCATTGTAAAATCCTAATCGGCCTCAGCTTTCCCAAACTGTTGTTGGTGCTTCTGCAGTGTTAAAGGGATAATTCACCCAAAGCTGATATCGAAGACGAATCAACCACCATTTTTTGTTTTGTTATCCCTCGGCTCCTAACAACGTGGTTTCCCTATAAGATTTCCTGGCACCCACCTCCCTTTTTAGTGAATTTTTACTCCAACATATGTATTGTCTGTGTAAAACAAATGAAAACACAGAAGGGAATTGATCAAAACTGGAGCAGACAAAATCTGGAGCAGCTGTGCATGGCAACCAATCAGTTTTACTCTTTAGTTTCCAAACCTAAACTGCAGAGAGAAGCTGGTTCCCCTGGGCAACTGCTCCAGATTTGATTAATTCCCCCAGAGTGATTTCCTCTTGTTATGGCAGTGGGTGGAGCTGGGGACACGGGTGCAAAGATTTTATCCCTGGCCTCCCTGGGTGACATAAAAGAGAAGGGTGAAACAAACGGAGAACCACTCAAATGTCAGTTGTAAATGGACTGAGCCTTTAGGGGGGAAAAAAAAGCATTCCACTGATTCTGACTTAAAGCAGAACACCAGGATTTTTTTTAAATCTGTAGTGTAAATATAAGTTAGTGACACTGAACTCAGAAGTTGCATCTTAATACATTCAAGCACCTACCTATAATCAAAAAATGTATCTTATTTGTGTATCACTCGGCTGTAGTTCCTCAAATCATCTCTGAATTGGTGCTGACACTGTCCTTCCTTCTGGAGGGGGACTACTTTTGTTCCCCATGGTCCTCCTTCCTCCCTTCTCCAAGCTGTTCATCTACTGGCTTGAAGAAGAGAGGAAGCGGGAAGCATTGGATTGTCTTGCCTTCCTGTGTCTGTTTGCGCAGACATGTACAGCTTACTAGAACACACAAGGGTGGCTCCATAGGACCCTGTGAGGGAAAGAAGCCACCATTAAAAACAGGATACCTGTGCTCAGCTGATTCTGCAGGAAACTAAAACGTTAAAACATCAAGAAGCAGCGTCCATTGTAAGTGATTTCATCAGCATTTGAAATGGCTTAAAAACCCTTTTAATATCACTTTAACTTATATTTACACTGCAAATTAACAAAAAGAAAATCCTGGCGTTCTGTTTTAATGTATCAGAAAACAGCAGGCTTTGTTTATTGAGACTTAAAGCGACCCTGTCCCTGGGTTAAAAAAAAAATGATGTTAACAAGCAGGGCCTGCAAAAGAAGAGGTGTTATCCTGACCTGTCGTGATCCCCGTTCCTCCGATCTTTCGTCCGTTCCAGAGTTTTGGCTGCTTGAGGAATCTTCTGCGCGTATAAATAAAGATGGACAAAGCGCATTCAAATGAACCCATTTTTCTAATCCTGGGGGTAGTTTTTAACCCCTAGGGAGGTGAGAATGAAACACATTGAGGTCTTTAGCTGTTTGCCTTCTATGGGAGAGGCCTGTGCCATGTCGCTGGATGTAATGTGGAAGTTCTTTCATACGGCCTATGTGAAATCTGTGTGTGTATGAGATCCGTTGCACCTGTAACACTTCGGTAAAATCCTAAAGTGCAGAGCGGTGTGCAGTAGGTGAGCCCTTCAGCTCTGGTACGATCATTGGATTACCCATCATTCCGGCCCCGTCTAGTGTGTTTTGCTGCTTTTTGTGCTTTGTAAACTGTGAAGGTCGGGGGCCAGCTGTTACCGCCCTCAGGCCATGGAATTCTTGCTTGTAATAATCTATTGGAATAGTGATAATAAACATATATCGACCTCAGGTGACTGGTCTTATTCATGCGCGGTCTGCAGCGCAGGGGCTTCATGAACAAAATACCTGGGTTTTGGCTGACTTTATTATTTTCATGGGGCCACATTGCTGAGGTTCTCCGTTCCCTCCACCACAGACAATATAACAGGAGTAGGCAATCTCGGCACTCCAGATGTGCTGAAACGATGAATCCCGTCATGCCTGTGGTTGTCAGTCTTGCAATGCCTCTTGGGACTTTTAGTACCACAACAGCTGGAGTGCTGAAGTTGCCTAACCTTGCTATAACGTATTATGTCATGCCAAAACTTTTTTTCTTAGCAATACTTCCCCGCTCTATCAAAAACTATCAGGGGCTCTGTTAGAGAGAATTACCCTCACTTCCTGTCCTGACAATATTTTACTGGACAGGAAGTGAGGGGAACTTTCCAAAAGCAATACATCAGTGGTTAGAAACAACTGCCCTGGCTTCATTATCATAATAAAATGCCCTGGCTTCAGTTTTATAGGTCAGGAAAAAAATGCCCTGGCTTCCGTTTTATTGGTCAGGAAAAAAAATGCCCTGGCTTCCGTTTTATTGGTCAGGAAAAAAAATGCCCTGGCTTCCGTTTTATTGGTCAGGAAAAAAAATGCCCTGGCTTCCGTTTTATTGGTCAGGAAAAAAATGCACTGGCTTCAGTTCTATTGGTCAGAAACAAACTACCCTGGCTTCAAGCAGATTTCCAAGAATGATTTTATGGAAATTTACATTGGTCAGCTTGGCTCAATGTATGTATCCAAACCTCTGTATTAGTCTGTACTACGTTCAATGATAGCTGTTATACAGAGTACAGGGAGTTGCTCACTCCGCACCTCCGGCATGCACAGAACGCCTTGTAGTTTTTCAATGCATGCAAGCTGTTCTCTGATTGAATGAGGTGAAGAGGAGGGGCAGATAATGTCAAAATCTTCACCTTGTCCAATCAGAAAACAACGCCTGATTTAAGGTGCTTGCTGGTGCCGAGTGAGTGACTCCCTGTGTTCTATGTGCAGAAGGTAAGCTGCTGGAACAGCACCTGAAAGATCACAGCTATCACTATGTAGTGCGGACTGCTACAGCAACTGTCAGCATCCCCAGCGGCCCTCCGGACATCAGATAAGGATACTTACATCCAGCCAAGCTCTGGAGAGAGATCGGCCATAATGGTATATTAGGCTGCAAGTGAACATTTTGTCTCTGAAGTACCAAAAGTGCCTACAATGGGCACATGAGCAATGCATCAGAACTGGACCACAGAGCAATGGAAGAAGGAGGCCTGGTCTGATGGATCACATTGTCTTTTACATCCTGTGGATGGCTGGGTGCGTGTGTGCCACTTACCTGGGGAAGAAATGGCACCAAGATGGACTATGGGAAGACAAGCCGGCGGAGGCAGGGTGATACATTGGGCAATGTTCTGCTGGGAAACCTCGGGTCCTGTCATTCCTGTGAATGTTACATGGACACGTACCAACTCCGTGCCACATATGTCCTCTCCCTTCCTGTCACTTTGCCAGGCTGTCATGTTGATCTAATGCAGGGGTAGCCAAACTCCGGCTCTCCAGCTGTGGTGGAACTACAAATCCCATGAGACATTGCAAGATTCTCACAGCCACAGACGTGACTCCCAGAGAGAACTGCATCATGGGAGTTGTAGTTTCACCACAGCTGGAGGGCTGCAGTTTGGTTACACCCGATCTAATGGATTTAGAACTGTAGAGTTCTGGCGTAACCTCCTCACACTGGTTCCAGTTCAGGGACTCAGAGTACAGAAGCTGCTGCCAGCCATAAATCTAACATTATAAGAAGAAGGTTCACAATGGTGTCTGATGTTTTTTTCTTCATTACCACAGTCTTTCTTTCAAGCTGAGTGAATACACAGATGAAATTCATACATGGGAGATGTACACAGCACAGTCCTGCCCGGCAAGAGATCTGATTTTTTTTTTCCCCCCCTCTGCTGCAGTAACACTTTACAGGTCCTGTCCTTCCCCCAGCTTGTGACTGGCCAGTGAAAAGAGAAGCAGCAGACCGATAAGCTTACTATGCTCTCTCCTCCTATTAGCATGTTCCCTATTATCACATGAGCACTGCAGCACCTGGTCCTTGGTTCTGTTTCTCCCGCTCCTAGCCTGAGCTCTGCAGAACATGGACTGCAGGAGGCTGACACCAAGTCACATTCAGGTACTTACACCGTTTGCAATAAAAAAAATTAAATACATTTAATAATTAATGTGGAATTTAGCTTTAATACATCATTATTTGTTTCTACCTCAAAGCAGAGCTCCCTCTATAAGAAATATGCATTTATATGTGTTTTTATATCTATCTGGCGGTCAACTTTAAATTGAAGCCAAGTCAGCAGAAATAAAGAACAGAATTCGCAAGGTTGCCATGACATGCAGGCAATTAGCATTTTGAAAAGGCAAGCATAACAAGGGCAGCCTCCATATTTCTCTCAGTACGTCTCCTTTGTACACAGTTGTCTTTCCCCTGCGCTGACAAGCCTGCAGCATTGACAGAGCCTCTGTCACCATACATAAAGCTGTGACAACTACCCAGGTTCAGGCCGCAGGGAAGCGGCCATGACAGGTGTGGGCATCTCAGTCTGCTGCCCACTGTCAAGATGTCCGCCGCCTTACTCTAACCAGCTCCCGACGTCACTTCCGTCCGTCTCTGCATCCAATAGACAGCGCCGTGCTTCCTTCTCAATAAAGTTTTCCTTGGCGCGATGCACGCCGGGTAGGTCACAGCGTGTGGGGTTTCCATGTGTTGTCGCCGGTGACAGTCAGGAAAGAGAAGAACACCGGACACCATGTACCCCGCCGCCCGCTGCTGTTTGAGAGCGAGGAGGATCGCACACGGCCTGTGCAGGTACCCGGAGGAAGGAAGGAGGGAGGGAATGAATGCAGGGAAGAAAGGATAGAAGGTCATTACTACCATGTCCAGGAAGCGGGTCAGGTGACCCTGTGTAACAGGGACTGTGCAGGCTGCACGGAGCTGACCAATAGCAGCGCAGAGCAATGAGTCCATATTTGTGTATTAAGTTGTTATTGGTGTTTGCATGTCCCTGGGCCTCTACTGGGGCAGACATTGTACTAATAATATAAAAATATGTTCGTCCTTTAAGTGCATCTGACTTAAGGTACCCGCCCCCAATTGTGTATATATACCTCCATCCTGTGGCCCTCTCCTTCTGCATTGTTTTCATCCTTTGATATAACCTCCTTGGTGCTACCTGCACCATTGATCCCCATAGACTTAAGTGGGACCGATTCCAGAACGCCTTCAGCCTTGGGAGGTAGCCACATAGAAGTCTATGGGATGGACTGCACAGGGGCTGCCAGCTCCGGGAATATTTAAGGCCTCATTCACATTGAGTTGCATTGATCTATGCACAGAACAATGCCATGGCACGCGCAAAAAAATTGTTTTCTATGTGCCCTGTGCGCGCCACAGCGCTGCCTTGAGGTGGGGTGTAGCGCCTTGTGTATAAATGCTGCACGTCAATGGGAGCCACCTTCTGCCACCACACAGCGCCTTGTCACCGATTTCTTAAAAATGAATGGAATGTCGTTTTGTGATGTTTCAATAAAGTTTAAGTGAACAAAAGGGGAACAGTGCCTGGTGTTGTAATGGCACAATGTGCTGCACGTACACAAAGCCTGCACGCTAAAACGGCTCATCATAGGCTGGTGTGACTGAGCCCTTACTGTAGGATGTAAACGCTGAGACGCAGGATGGAGGCGGGTGGGGTACTTTAGGTCGGGGAGGGGGCAAGAGCACTTATTTAAATTAAACCTGTCATGAGAAATGCAGGATCCACCATTGCTGATCTTCACCTGGAAATGCTAGTTTCCTGGCTGACCCGCTGGTTTAAATACTTTGTGATAACAAAGAAGTGCCTGTGGTCTCCCTGCAGCTGACCTTTCCCTAATTACTGACTTGCCATGGCATCTCTGTGTGGAGGAAGCCATCTTGGTAGAGGCAGGGATTTGTTTCCTCATGTCAGAGCCTCCAGCAAGGAGTGAGCAGCACAGTAATGACATCATCAAATCTCCTGAGACTAGCAGTCAGAGGCAGCAATGCCTTAGATCTCATGCTGCAGATAGGAGGCCACAGAATGGGAATGCCTAGGCACAGGCACATACTGCACTGCTGTTTTTCAGAAGGAGTTTCAGGCCAAAGGTATGTTTTTAGGGTACAGCTTAGGCACAATTAACCTTTAATTGCTAGGAAGAGGGGAATAAGGAATTCAGACGCCAGTCTGTCCAATCCAGGAGCCAGCAGGATGTTTTTGCTGGCACCAGCTTCCTTGACAAAATTTTAAACTGGGATTGGTCCACCCCTGCTATACCATATCAAATCCTCACTTTTTGCAGTTAGTTCCACTTCAGCAGAGATAAAAATGTGCAGATTGGGAATGTCGCAGAGTCAGACATTCTTATTTGCATTCCTGCTCCAAGACAGTGGCTTAAAGGAGAACTATGAGGAGTGCTTTTCACTCATCCTCATAGTTCGAGCCGAAGTGTGACAATGAAACTGTAACACGTCGGCTCAATAGATCGGGAAGTGAGCGAACACATACCGTCGCCTGTTCACTTCTCGATCATCTCCCTGCAGAGAGCTGTGACTGTCACTCACGGCTCTCTGCAGGGATTCCCTCCCCGCTCCAATTCTCCAGCGCTGACTGGCGGAACGGACGGGGTGGGGGTGGGTACAGCTGGCTCTGCCTCTAGATAGGCAGAGCCAGCTGTCAATCACGCAGCTGGGTGGATCTCGACCATAATGTTGGGATCCGCCCCGGCTGCGGCTGTCTCAATATACAGCGTGCTGTAGCTCGCGATATACTGAGCTTTGAGTCCCGGGAGGACGCTAGTATATGTCCTCCCGTGACCCTAAAGAGAACTATGGGGAAAAACACTTACTCCATAGTTCTCCTTTAAAGCAAGCATGACAGCCAGGAGGAAAGAATTATCAGAAGAGGGAGGTCAGCAATGGCAGATTCTTGGGAAGAGGGCTTAGAATTTTGAAGGTGATGGATTCTGATTGGTTTGTGTGGATTCTTCTTTATAATATCAGTAACAATATTTAATAATACAATGTTATCAGTTGTATTCTTCCTGATTTCCTGTGTACTGATTGGCTAACGATGGTTCTGTTGCACAGGTTAGAGGCGCCTGCAGTGAGGTACTTACGGACATCCTGCGCACTTCGGAACCAGCCTTTGCCCATGCCGGATCTGGACGATGCGGTCAAACATTACCCCCCAAAAATTCAGCAGCTGGTTGACCAAATAGCATCCCTCACTCTGCTGGAAGTGTCTGACCTCAACGAGCTACTTAAGGTAGGTGACATACACGACTGTGCGGCTGTTTTAGAAACACACACAATGGTTGGTGCCTATATCCCCTATGACCGCCACCAACCCCTTCCTCACCGCACACCACCCCTCACCCACCCACTACCAGTACATTTAGGCTACAGGGGAACAATGATATTGTATTGTATCCCAATAACTGGTTTATACATACAGTTTTTGGTCCGTGCTGCTATTGTATATACTGATCCGATGTCATCTAGCATTGTGACCCAACCTGTATTCTAATGTTGTCTTAGCTCAGTTAAACATTTTGGTACAGAAAAAAAAAGCACAAAGTATTCCCTGGTAGGGAGGAGCGAATACTTACCTGTCCCACCACAGATCTTTGCTCCCTACTGCTACCAAAGAGTCTTCAGCATCGGTCATATTTCTGTCTAGTGTTGGATGCCTGATCCCCCCTCTGAGCGATGCGGTTCCCTCCCTCCAGGCACTACATCACTACTGTGTCATGTAGTGGGCAGAGGGGGACCAGGCATACACACACACATGCCTGGTCGGGCCGGGTAAAGTTCCTTTGCAGAGTGCTTTGTTTTAGTTTAAAGACAGTCGCTTTTTAAAGGACCTTGTAATGTGTCTAAATGGTACCCAGTCTAAAGTGTACAGTCCTGGCCCCCCTGGCATCTTACTGATCCTGTTAATGAAGCCAGGTGCAGAAATAATGCAACACACATGCTCAGGAGTTACATCATCAGCGCCTGCCCACTGGCAGGCAGACCTGGAAAAAAAGCACAATAACATGGCACAGTGGGGATGGAGTGGATGCGGGGAGCTCGGACCTCACATGGGTGGGAGGAGTGGTAAATGTGTCATAGTGTGCAAGTAGGCTGTGCGCATTATGGTGAATGCTGGAAAATTCCACCTTAAGAGTTCTGACTTCACTCTTGACTCGTCTTGATTTGCTTGCATGTAGTGGGCCATTTCTTAGAATTTTTTAAAAGCCAGTCAACTAGTATTTTTTTAGAAGGCATCATTGCTACCGCCTCCCCCCATCCCCATTCACTCAGTGCAGGTTTTTTAAAAACAAATCTACGATGTGTGGTCATTCCCCTTTTCTCTAAGAGTAGATACCAGCAATACAGCTATGTTCATTACATACATTGCAAGCTCTCACCGGGTAGGGCAGAGCCCTCCTTACCATCTTGTCTTGAATTGTATTGTGATTGTAATGTCTTCCTCATATTGTAAAGCGCTGCGCAAACTGTTGGCGATATATAAATCCTGTATTATAGTAATAGTTAGAGATGCACCGATACCTGTATCGGTGCCGATGCGGAGTATTTGGGCAAGTACTCGCACTCTCCCAAATGCTCTGATGCCTAGCCCGATACTTCCGGTATCAGGTAGCCGGGCAGCGAGTCATTACACGCTGCCCAGCTTCCTGATTGGCCGGGAAGCCGGCTCTATGGTCCTTCGCCGCTTGTGACGAGGGAGCATGATACCGGCTTCCCGGCCAATCAGGAAGCCGGGCGCCGTGTAATGACACAGCTTCCTAATTGGCCGGAAAGCCAGCTCCATGCTTTCTCAACCCCTAATCAGGAAGCTGGGTGGCGAGTCTTTACACGCTTCCCGGCTACTCAGGAAGCCGGGTGGCGAGTCATTACATGCTTAATAGGACTTCCGGTATCGGCGAGTACCGGAAAAAAAATATCGGTACTCGATACCGAAAAACCGATATCGGTGCATCAATATTAATAATACATACACATCATTTTCTAACACCCGTACGTCTGCAAATCTGGTAATATGTTGTACATCCTGTAGGGGTCACCGTTATAATTATGCTTCCAGTGCTGGAAATAGGGTATGTTGTTGGCGATATGATTATTTGAATAGCGCAGTGGTCGCTCATGCTGGAAACTGTTTACCTTATGCAAAAGCAAAAATCATCATTTTATTGAATGCCGTGCTTACTACAGAAAATGTTTCGGTGACTGGCCTGACTTTTATTTGTTTTGTTTTTTATTTATTTTCTTTTCAAATTAGAAAACGTTGAAGATTCAAGATGTTGGTATGATGCCGATGGGCGCCATGATGGCAGGAGCAGTGAGTGCAGCAGCACCAGCCCAGGTAATCATTCATTTCCTGGAAACAAGCAATTGTAATTTACAGATACATGACATAATGTACCCCGATGGCTTCAATAAAGAGCCTCATAAAAGTGTGTGTGTGCGCTCATGGGTTTACTTACCTCTGGCAGGATTAGTAAAATGTTAGTCACTTTTGCTGCACCGGTGCCACAAAATAGACCACTACAATACACCAAACAGCTCCTGCAGAAGCCCCAGAGCTTCTGGAACAAAATCATTTTGGAGTTATGAGACCAAAACTAAACTGTATTGTTGCATTTAGCAAGGCCTGTGAAGAGAAGCGCAACATCCCTACTGTGAAGCATGGAGGTTAATCTATGCTGTTTCCTATGCTGGGTGCGCACTTTACACTGGCACAGGAAATGTAGTCAAAATTGATGGCAAGATGAATGCAGCATAATATCCAAACGATGTTGTAGGAAAACGTTCATTTGTCAGCTTGGAAGCCGTGCATGGGTTGCACTTGGGCATTCCAACGTGAAAATGACCGTTTAACATCAGGCTAAGTCAACCCTTCAGTATCTGCAGCAGAAAAAATGTGAAGGTTGTGGCGTGGCTACCACGCTCTGTTGACCTCAATATCTATCATTGGCCCACCTTGAAGGTATCTCATACATCTCCTGGGAGACAACCAATTTGCAGGACCTGGAAGCTTGTTGCAAAGATCGGGCAGCTTTAGCACAGGACTTCATTCACAAATATGGAAACGGATTTGCCCGCACCACTGATGCTAAAGGGGGCAGTACACAGCATTAGGAACTAAGGGTATGCCGGCTTTTGAATAGGACTGTTTCATTGTTTTGTTTTGCTATAGATTGTGCTGTTCTGGGATCCCTAATAGTTTTATTTTGCGTCACATTAAATCTAGAGTTTTGGTATCATCACTCACGTTTTCTTAGTAAGTGTCTACAACTTACAAACTCTGCCAGGAGTATGTGACGTTATGAATGCGAATGTCGCTGAACTCGGGTCATTCTATCTAACATAGCGGAGGTGCAATTCTAATCATACTGCAATTATTTGTGAAGTCTTGCTTAGGATGCAGCTGGGTTTGATCTTGCCCTGTTCTGTCTTGCACAGGCTGTGGACGAAGAGGCAGCACCAGCCAAGAAAGAAAAGACGCACTTCACAGTAAAACTGACAGAGGTGAACGCTGTAGACAAAGTGAAACTCATCAAGGAAGTGAAGAATTGTGTATCGGGGGTGAACTTGGTACAGGTAAGGTGAACTCCATACTAAATGTGATCATCACTACAGCACATGGTGTAATCCTGGCCACGTTCTCATTGTTGCTTTACTATCGCTTGCATTTGCTGTCTTTCCTTTTGATACATGATCACCCCACCCCCCGATGACGGGCCTGTGTTTGATAGTCTTTCGTTCTCCTCTACCAGCTTCTGCATTCCCATACAAGTCTGTAGGAATACAAATCCCACTTGGTGGAGGTCACCTGTAGGTCAAATTCACCTGTCGGTGACTTCTAAATGGTCCCAGAAGAGTCTCAAACTCATTCCATTGATACAAGCCCAAAACTTATTAACACAGGCCATTGAGACAGTCTCCAGACCAAACCTCTCTAGAGCATGTCCCAGTATTTAATTTCTTGTATCTGGTTCCCGTAACAGGAAATTGCTTTTTATACCCTGGGAGGAGAGTTCCTATTCATCATTCCCCCCCTACTTCATCTCTCAAACGCTTACCTTGTGTAGGCAAGGAAATGTCACTTGGGAGCCGAGGAGCTAAATTTACTTTTGGCAGAATAACTTGGTATTTTTCTGTACTTGCAGTATTTATAAAGGGTTAAACATGTGAAATGTACTGTATATGTTTTTTATGCGGAATGCACCGATACCGGTATTTCGGTATCGAGTACTGATATTTTTTTTTCTCAATACACGCTGATACCGAGTGCCGGAAGTCCCATTTCAGGAAGCCAGGCGGCATGTAATGACTCGCCACCCGGCTTCCCAATTAGCAGGGAAGCCGTCCCCATGCTTCTCATCACTAGATGACGAGGGAGCATGAAGCCAGCTTCCCGATCAATCAGAAAGCCGTGCACCGCGTCATTACACAGTGCCTGGCTTCTTGATTGGCTGGCCAATCAGGAAGCCGGGCAGCGTGTAATGACACGCTGCCCGGCTTCCTGATTGGCCAGCCAATCAAGAAGCCAGGCACTGTGTAATGACGCGGTGCACGGCTTCGTGGTACCGGAAGTATTGGGCTAGGCATCAGAGCATTTGGGCAAGTACAAGTACTCGCCCAAATAATCGGCACCAATACTAGTATCAGTGGATCCCTATTTTTTATATTGTCATGACATACAGTTTAAGGGCTTAATAGTGTCTATGGTTTTCTTGGGGAGCAGGGGGATTGTGCTATGTTGACCCACTCCCCACCAATGGCACTGATGACCTTTTTTTGCAAATCTCAACAACAGTTGGAGATTCAAATTTTATCACTTATGTCCTCAAATCCAAAAGTACGGCATGGGTACGAAACCTGACTGGATGTAGAAGCAATGCACAGGCAGCTCTCTAATGGACCATGGCCACAACTCGGCTCTTGCAGTATTGGGCTTTTGTGGCATACTTTCAAAATGTGAGTTCATTGAGAATAGTCTAGAAGAGTTTGACCATAAAGTTGAAGAATCCAACATGTTTTGGGGGTGGAGGGGCTAAAGTGCAACGGGAGCAGGTTGCGTATTCCTCCTCTACCATAATCTCAATAATTTATACCCCTGATCCAGACTCTACTCAGTTCAAAGCCCAAAACTCGGAGTAAGCTGGTCCTTGCAACAGTTTGTTTAAATTGAAAGGAAAACTCCAGGAAAGTTAATTGTTAGTAAGCCTACAGGTTTTAAATAAAGATAAGTGCAACGAGGTGTACGTCTCCTCCTGCAGCTTTTTCTTTTTCTTGTTACAATGAGCACTGATAGTATAGCATTTACTGTACCTTGGCACTCCAACAGGAGAGGCCTGGCTCTCCTACACAGCAGGCTCTACCCTCTCCATTTACAGAAAGCTTAGTATTTTGTGAATGGGTTTACAGAATGCATAGGGTTCTGTGATTGGCCAAGAGAAGAGGCTTGAAAGATGTCACCAAAAACATCTGAAATGGCACAAGACTGAAGCATAAGCACAGCCCGGGAAATACGATTGTTCCCTTACAGAATGTATTTTGGCTTTTGTTGCATTACCAGATTTCCCCATTGGTTGGTATAATTCCACCTTCATCATGCCCTCAAATTGAAATGTATAACTGCAGCTCTCCAAAAACCCAGGAGCTGCATGCAATCACTACACCGGAGCTAGACGCACACTGGTCATTTTGCTTATTCATGGTGATTCATGCAATGCTGTTGAATGCAATGCTGACTGCAGGACACTAGGGGGCCCACTGGTGCATGCTATTTTGGTGCAGCCTATACCAGTGTAGAAATGTCTTACTGGTTTTATATGGGGTTCTGCTCTCTGCTCAAAGCATCATGATACAGTAGATCTGTTTTTAGTAAAGCATGAAGGGTAATCCTGTTAAACGTTATTAGGTAGTTACTGATTTTCAAATCTTTAATTGTTTAAAATGTAAATGATAAAATCTAATGTTTTATAATGTTTCTAAACAGGCTAAGAAGATGGTGGAGTCGCTTCCACAAGAGATCAGGGTCAACGTTGCTAAGGAGGAAGCGGAAAAGATAAAGGCTGCTCTGGAGGCTGCAGGGGGGAAGGTGGTGCTGGAATGAGGCACCCGGACTCTTTATGACAGTTCAATCGGATGACGGTTTGGGGTCGTCTTCCACAAGCCTGGGCTCTACAGGCCAACAGGTGGCAGTTCTAGGACATAGAATGTACTCTTGTGTCCAAGCCATTGCAACGTGTGGGAACGCCACCCAAAGCCTTCACCTCATACTCCCCATGGGAACGCCTCCCTCCTCCATATACGGGCTGGGTGGGGTACAGCTTTTTTGTTAAATTTTTTTTCCCCTCCCTCTGTGTACTTTGGTCTCTGCAGCACTTCACTGTGTAATTAATAGTTTAATGTCTCGTTATCTTATCTTGTTTTATACATTAAACTCTTACCTTGAGGCTGCTCCCTTTCCCCCCCCTATACTTTGATTTCCGACATCACCTCATTAATCTCTGTTCTAGATACGCAACTGTTCTATGTAATTTGGTAGCTGTGAACGGGGAAAATGTGTCAGCTGTGAGAATTGTTTTCAGCCCAGCCGGTTACTTGTCAATACTCAAAGCTATACACTCGACAGTGATGCATTCACTTTATGAAGAAAGGTTTACAGACACCTGACCCATGACGTCTACATGAGCTTGTTGAGCTACTTTTGTTCCCCATACTCCCTGTGTGTGTTGTAGTCACTGCTCCATGCTCGTTCCCGGGATGGACTACAATCTCATGTTTAGTTTACATTGAAATTATAGTCCATCACGGTAGTGAGCTTGGAGCGGTGACTATTTTACAACACACAGGGACCAGGCGGGACAAAAGTAGTCCCCCCTCCAGAAGAAAGGACAGTGTCTGCACCAATTCAGAGATGATTTGAGGATCTACAGCCGATTGCAGTTTTAAGATTTAACTCCTCAGTTTCGTGTCATTTTAACAATACACTAAGCAGCTTTAAAAAAAAATCCCCAATGTATCGGCCATACCTGGAGGCTATTTGCACCCCCACAGAAGCTGGCCAGTTTTCTGCATCGCTCTGTCCTGTTGCTAGGTTGAGCCAGCCTTTTGGACACTTTCCCCCCAGCATCACAGAAGGACATCCTTGTTTAGAGGCCTGGGCATGCATATGTTTAATGCAAAGATCTCACAGGCAAGCCTTCATTGGCTCCCATTGTACGCCCTGTGCAACAGGGGATTCATTGACAAACTTCTCAAGTTCACTCTAATGCAACCCTGGGCTATATTAACATTATCCAGAATGGATTCAAGCACCTCATTCCTTTTGGTACGCACCATTGAATATCAAAAGTAGCAAGTAGGGGGGAATTAGTCTGAAATTCCTCTGGGCAGCAGATGAACATATGGCAAACAATGTCTAGTGTCTAAGGGCTTGTTCACATCATGTCCAGGCCAGAACAGTTCATTCCTGGACCAAAAAAAAAAAAGTATCCCTATGGTATTTATGGGCTTTGTTCACACCAGCGCAGTCTGTTCTGCTCCAGACACACGCACACACAAAAAAAAAAAAAAAATTAAGCCCGTTCTATTTTCTCTGGTCTGGCCT